ATAATAATATATAAGTATATTAATTTAAACTATTTACTATATATTCTGTATTAGATATTAAAGTATTAAATTATATAGCTTTAGAGTTATAGAATAATATCTTAGTTATTACTAGTTATAGTTAAGGGGTAAATAAGGCTTTATAAAGCCTAGGAGACAATCTAATAAAATCTCTAATAGATATTTAAACCCTAGTATCTAAGATTTAGTTTATAATACTTATTATATCTATAGTCTCTTTTAGTTTATTTATTACTTTAAACTTTCTTAGAGATAGTTTTTTTCTTATCTTAATTATTTTTTTACTTTTACTTAGTTTAGGTGCTTTTTTTATATTTTTATTTATTACTCTTACTTGCTTAATTATATTTAGTAATTAATAATTATTAAACTAGTTTATTTTAATTAAGAGGAATTTTTATTCTTATTTAATTACTCTTTATAGTTTTTTTTTATATTATTATTTAATCCTACTCTATCTCTTCTTTATTTCTTAAGGCTTTTTTAATCTTATTATATTAACTAAATAATAATCTTCTATAATATTGCTAGCTTCTTTCTTAAAGCTTAAATTATTATTAATTTATCTTAGTATAATAGACTATATATTATATCTAATTAAACTAATTTACTTCTATTCTTTTTTTAGTCTCTGTTTAATAATTGTTTTTTATAATATATTTCTCTAGATAAGATAAATAACTTCTTTATTCTGCCTTTTTAATTTAAAGTAAAGTTTATAATCTTTTCTTTAATAAATAAGTTTTTAATTTAAGAGGTTCTTTAGATTTAAGTAATAAGATTAAATATAATTAAAAGCCTAGCAAAAGTTATATAAGTTTAAAAAAATTTTAGATCTTCTAGCTAAAGTAAATTCTAAAGATACTCTAGCTTATATATTTATACTAGTATTAGGTATACTATTATTAAGCCTCCCTATATACTATATATTATATAGTTTTAACTTTTTAAACTCTTTTATTAATTAATTAATCTATAATTGCTTTATTAACTTTACTTTAATGCTTTATTATTTAGTCCTATTCTTATTCTTATTTAAGTAAGTTCTATTAGATTTAATAAGAAGTTATATATTATCTTTTTTAATTATCTTCTCCTTTATTAAAGCTGCTATATTTTAATCTTTTTTTAGTTTTTTACTATTAAGATAGCAAAGGGTTTTAATAGTTTTTACCCTATTTATTACCTTCTTATAGAAATTAATATATTTAATAATAGACAGAATATAGTAGTCTATATTTAACTCTTAAACTACCTATTACTTAAATTCCTCTAGAAGTTTTTAAAAATATTAAACTCTCTGTAAGTATTAGCTTAACTTACTTAAAGTTATTAGCGCTTTTAATATAGCTTAATATTTTTAGTTATATTTCTTTAGATTCTTAAAGCTATTATATTTTATATTTTTAAACCTTTTTAGCTATTAAATATTATATTTCCTTTAATATTTATTATAATAAGCATACTTTTATTTAGTTACTTCTGCTAGTTTTAAGTAGTTCTTTTTTTTATATTTAAGTTAAATATTTATCTATAATAATATTAATAGGCTATAATAGTTTATAAACTATTTAGTTTTTTCCTTTTCTAAGAATTAGTTTGCCTTATATAATCTCTTAAAAAGCCTTAGGTAATAAGTAATATTATCTCCTTTAAAATAAAGTACCCTAGGATTCTTAGATATTAATATTTATAGAGCTAATATAATCTAGATTAATTATATTATTAATAGTCCTATATTTTTAAATGCCTAGACTATTTATACCTCTAGACTTAGTAATATTAAGGAGTTAAGAGTCTTTTTATCTTAACTAATACTAAAAAGATTAGTACTTTTCTCTATATTTTTTTAAAAAAATAATAATAAAAATAATAATAAGAAGTTCTTCTATTTTTTAATAAATAATTCTTGCTTAATAATTTCTTATTCTTTCTAAATTTTTACTTCTCTTTTATATTTATTAAGCTCTTCCTTATATTTAGCAATTTTTCTTTTTTTTATTGCTAATATATATTTTTGCCCTATATTATTTTTATTATCTCTACTAATTTAAAAGGTATATTTATTTTTTTTTATTTATAGTGGTAATTATCTTTAGTTATTTTGCTTATCTTTTTATTACTTTTTATTTCTTTTTTTAGCTTTAGCCTTAATTTTAGCTTCTAATTCTTCTTTTTCTTTTATTTCTGCTTAATATTTTAATACCCCCTATATTTAGCTTTATTTTGTTATAAGAAAATATATTAAGACTTAATATAGAGTCTTTAAGCGAGTAGGTATTAAAAAGAAAAAGAAGGGTATTTACCTTTAAAGCTTAGAGTAAAGTTAGAGAAAAAGCTCTAGCTATAAACTAACATAGTAAACTAATAATAATCTAATATTAAACTAATACTAAATAATAATAGAAAAATAAAGCTAATTATTTTATTCTAAGTAATTAAAAAGTATCTCCCCCTATTCTCTACTGCTTTACTTATAGACTTTTTAAAGACTTTAAGTAGAAGCATATAATCTCTTAACTAATTATATTCTTTACGCCGATTCTCCCCGCTATAGTAGTCTTAGTTTTATTAATATATTTATATATTAGGTAATAGTATTTATACTATTTTAGCTTATAGCTAGCAGTAATATATTTAATAAACTTATTTAAGATAGTTAGTAGAAATAGGGGAATTAGGGCAAATATTATTAATAGTATTAACTCTTAGATAGAAGCTATATAATATTAAAGTATAGGCTTAAGGAGCGGGTTAAAATAAATAAAATAAGGTAATTAATATTAGGACTAGCTATAGAGTCTTTACTTAGCTAATTTAAACTAGAATAAGCTATTACAGGCAGGCTTAGTAAATAAAATATAGCTTAAGAAGCTTAAATTTAAATTAAGCTATATGCTAAAGATATTTTTATAAGATTATATAACTCCTTATATAATTTAGAAGAGTTTAAACCTTACTCTTCTAAATTAGGTAAGCATTAGCCAGTAGATTAATTATTCTATCTTCTATATTAATACTATAATAATATCTTTAATATTATAAAAAGGATTATTACTTTCTTTTAAAGCTCTTCTAAATAATATATAATTTTTTAAAATCTTTAGCTTAAGATTTATAAGAAATAAATATCTTTAATCTTAAATATTATTATTTAATAGGGATTATAATATAAGATACTTTATTTAATCTACTGCAGTAATAAGGCGATTAAATAATAGGCTAAGGAATTCCCTATAATTTTACCTATAAAATTAGAAATCTTATTACTATAGTTCTAGGAGTTATTAATAAATTTAATATTACTTATTAAGTTAATCTATACTTATTAATTAGATTTAAAGAATATAGAATTAAATATTTCTATAATAAGCACTATTATAACTTAGATTATAGTATTACTAATAATTTAAATAGCCTAGCAATAAATAGAAATATAGCAATATCTTATATTATAAAGCGCTTCCCTATAATTCTTTACTTATAAAATTAGTATCTATTTAAATATTAAATAAAGCAATTATTTAGAGAGTTAGCTTACTAGGCTTTATTAGACTGCTTATTTTCTAAATCTTAATACTTATTATAAGAGCTTTAAGGATTATAATAATAATATTTACTATATAATCTATTAATATATTAGTAAATAAGCAATGCTTAATTTTTATTACTTTAGAGGGCGAACTGAAGCTTTTTATAAAGACGCGTATTACTAGAAATAGCTTAATACTAAATCTTTTTAAAGAGTAATAGTATAGCTCTTATTCTACTACTTTTATAATTTATTAATTTATATAATTTATTAGACTATAATAATGCTAAATCTTATAAATTTTACTATATAGCTGCTTAAAATAACTGCCAACTCTATTACTTCTAAATATTCCTTTTTAGCTATAAACCTCTAGTATATAAAGCTTTATAATATATTGAGCCCTAATAGTGTAGATAAGCTTATCTATATCTATATAAACTCGCGTGTTCTATAGGAAATAAATGTAGGTATAAACTATTATACTAAAGGGGATATTAAAGCAAAGCTGCTGGCTTTAAAGAATTAAGAAATAGAGAAGACCTATTTTATATAGGGACTCTTGGGCGAAGCTATTAAAGAATCCTTACCGGCTACTCCTAGCAGCTAATTAATAGGGAAAAGATCTTATTTTAATGCTTAAATAGCAGGCAATAGAATCCAGAAAGTTCAATATCTTTACTGGCTATAAAAGCGATATTTTCTAGGAGTTAGATCGCTTTAAATTTCAGCTGTTTTAAATCAGGATATCTTCAGATATCAAGTAGGTCGGATCTACCATACTAATTTATTAGCGTATTTCAAAATTTCAGACAGACCTTTACTTTCATTTCAAGACATTTTATTTCACGAATTTCATGAAATTTTGAATTTCAAATGCCACCCCTAGCTTGAACTAACTAACAGTGGGCTTAAATCGTTCGGTTCATCTATCACACCCACACTGCCGGAACGCTGTGATTATGTATACAGTACATGATTCCTTGGAAAATCTGCAGCATGTACCCATTATTACGGAGATGTCTACAGAAGCAAAGAGCCTCCTGAGTCCTACTCGACTCAGTTTGCGCATCTTTGGAGCCTGTGGACGGAATAACGCTGGGGATTTCGACACGCCATCCAGCTAGCGGCCCGCGAGTTCCCATAGAGGATTTAGACCATGCGGGCCATCCTGTTAGCAGCCGTTCCAATTTTAATGGCCATGACATGAGGCGCCAATCCCATCACGAGTCAATAATCGAAAGGCCCGTGGTCGGAGGAGCTGCTACAAGGAGACAGCACCTAGGCAGACTAAATGACACGGATTTTTGGCGCTTGAAAGCGCACGCAGATTGAACCGGCTACAATGGCAGCAGTCATGAATGCATTCATACGGGATGGCTGCTTCGTCTATTATCCGGGCAGAAGGTGGGACGACCGAAGACTTAACCTGCTCCAGCAGTGCACTAGATAATAGTCACAACCATTGTATTATTTCGAGCAGCAATCGCAAAACGAACGACCCCTCAGTGCTCCGTACAGGAGCGCCCGGGGTCTGTTGGGGCCAAAGCAATATGGATTAAGGCCCCCCAATACCTTTAAGAACCATGCCACGGGCAAATACCTAATACCAGTGAAACTCGCACCTTTGGTGAGAACGAAGACTGATTGCTTATTCGCATCTCCCCACCACGATTTATATCAGAGATGGCTCGAGACACTTCCTCCGTCGATGGCCTGGACTCCCAATCTTTCGATTTTGTTGTAGTCGGAGGCGGTACAGCTGGACTTGTGATTGCCAATCGTCTCACTGAGGACCCTAGTGTCAAAGTTCTCGTCCTTGAAGCTGGTAGCAATCGTGTTGATGACCCTCGAATTTCCGTGCCAGGACTGGCAGCCAGTACCTACTGGGACCCGGATTTCGACTGGCGCATCACCAGCCCTCCGCAGGTAAACAGTCCTCCGGTCAATGAATGCTGTGGAGAAACATTTTCTGAATACCGTTTCGTTATAGGAAGGCCTCAATGGACGCCAAATAGCGGAAACTAAGGGCCGTACCCTGGGAGGCTCGTCGGCCATCAACCTGGGTATGGTCATTTATCCTAGCAAGAGAGACGTCGATGCGTGGGAAGAGCTGGGGAATCCAGGATGGAACTGGGACGCTCTTTCGCAATACCTCCGGAAATCTGAGACTTTCACGGCCCCGAATCCTGCTATCCGCGAACAACTGTCTCTAGACTATATCGAAGAGACGCTTCAGGGAGGAAATGGACCAATTCAGATCTCGTTTGGAGATGGTCCCTTTCCAACCTTCATGGCGGCTTGGCCCAAGGTATTCGAGAACCTCAACCATAAGCTTACTGGCGATCCCATTTCAGGGGTGGCTAAGGGGGCATTCTGTAATCCGGCGACTATCGATCCGAAGAACAGGACACGAAGTCATGCTGGTGTCGCCTACTACAACGAAGAAGTTGCGAAACGACCTAACCTACGCGTGGTCACAGATGCCACTGTTGAGAGAGTTGTCTTGAAGAAAAATGTTGACGGTACGGTATCAGCGACTGGCGTGGAGTTTACCGCGAAGGATGGAGTCCGGAGGACCGCTTCTGCTGCTACTGAAGTCATTCTTTCTGCCGGAACCATTAAGACGCCGCACCTGCTAGAGTTATCCGGGATTGGAGGAAGCGAGCTCCTAAAGAAGCATGACATCGAGGTCATCGTGGACAACCCGAACGTTGGAGAGAACCTGCAAGAACATGGTTTTGTGCCTTTTAGCTGGGAGATTGCAGAGGGACAACAGTCTGGAGAGGCTCTTCGTATCCCAGAAGTGGCACAGGCTGCTATGGATGCTTGGCAACAGCATTCTGGCGCTGGTCCACTGGGTCTCTGCCCGCTGGCATCTGCATTCATGACGCTGCCCGAACTGCAGGATGGCGAGATGAAGGGGCTGGTCAAAAGATACCTTGAAGACTACCAGTACCCAAGCTTCCCTGGTCAGGAGGTCCAGTATCGCGTCTTGCGAAAGATTCTCGAGGATGAAACAGAACCCTCCGGACAGTATACATTGGCGCCGTTCCAGCTTACTCCTGAGAAAGGTCCCACCCCGAAAGACGTTTTCGGAATGCTTGAGCCAGAATGCTTCGTCAGTATTGTCTCTGTGCTCAACCGCCCCTTCTCCCGTGGTCATGTACACTTAACATCCAAGGACCCCTATGACCTTCCCTTGTTCGATCCGAAATTCTTCTCTCATCCTCTCGACCTCGAGATTCATGCTAGACATACGAAGTGGCTGGACACGCTCGCATCTACGGAGCCAATGGTCTCTCTGATAAAGAGTGGCGGCCGTCGTCTGCATAGCGACAAACCCGTAATCGACTTAGATACCGCGCGACAACTGACTAGAGATCGCCTCGTCCCTCACTACCACCTTGTTGGAACAACAGCAATGATGCCTCGCGAGCAGGGCGGCGTCGTGGACGACCGATTGAAGGTGTACGGCACGAAGAACTTACGAGTAGTTGACGCCGGTATAATCCCACTTATCCCTAGAGGAAACATCCAGGCGATAGTCTTTGCCGTTGCTGAGAGGGGAGCGGATATCATAAAGGAAGATTTGAAGAAGAAGTCTGTGGAATAAGTTTATTTTTAAGCTTATGATGATATCTATTTCGGACCAAAGTCTATTATATACAGGTAGTAACTAGCTATAGTCGACTCATGAATCGTATTCCAGCCATCGCGCTTACTAGAAGCAGCGGTCTTTCCATTCCATTCGTTACTTAAAATATGTAGTTCACTTCTCCCGTTTCCTTCGCTTGCTTTCTTCACGACACGAAAACCGTTCCAGCGTAGTCACCGAACCGACAATGAACTAAAAGCCGTTTGTGATCGGCTCTGCACCCGAGTCCATTCCCTCTCCACTACCTCGAGGGCATCTAGGCCCCAATCCCGGCGACGACCCTGAGTATCGCACAGGCATTTCGAACATCTCGATGCTAATGTCCCGGGGATTCTTCATCAGAGGGATCATGACTTTCTGCAGAGGGACAAGGCTCTTGGTCTGGGGGCAGGCCCTAACCCCCCACGCGGAAATGCTGAGAAATGAATAATATCTTCAAACTGTGATTAGATTGTTAGCACCTTCCTTTACCTGGAAACGCGTCCAATAGCAATATTAGACGTGTTTGGGGCAAGGGTGTCATACACAGAGTAGGAGAGTTCCTGGATTTCGTATCTCTCCTGCATCGGCGTCCCTTCCCAACCGGTGATAGTAAATTGCAGCTATTTCCACGGAAATGGGTTTGAAGAAGTTTTCAATGCTCCGTGTCTGTGGTGGAAAAGGAGAAAGAGAACAGAAATGTAGATAGAGAAGAAAACAGACCACTTGGTGGCATCCTGCCGGGGCTCCAATTTGGGGAAGTCCTTCATGCGAGTTATTGTCACCCAATGGGGTGAGAAATCGTTGACTGAAACAACTTCCAATCTCCGCAACGACTGACTAACCATCAACAGATGGAGTAATCCGTGGCATACGCCACGCTCATGCTGACCAGACAAGTCGCCGATGCTGCCCTCCCATCTCAGGATCCTGGTGGTGTTAGGCGCAGTGGCCACCCAGCCCTCGTCGGTCGGAGTAAGTATGGCTGAACTCGCGTCTCCAGAATCCCTGACAACCGGACCGGTAGTATAGAACCCGATCATAGACCATCTTAGCACCCGAATTGCTAGCGAGGGAGAGGTTTTTTCGATTTCCGTGTTCGAGCGACTCAACAATGATATCACATATCTCCCCGATGCCCAGCAGACCTTTGAACAAATCACGGCTGCTGTACTTAAGTGGGTTTGGATCCCACTTGTTGGCCCCCAGCCTTGAGTTTGCCTTCTCCAATATATCTTTAAGTATATAGACAACACATCTTTGAGCATATAGACCTGTTACTTCGAAGCAGGCAGCTGCCATCCCATTTTCTCGTGAGCTTCGGCCTCTGTCTGGCCATGTTGTTTGCTCATGAGATGGGTCTTGACAAAATGTCGACCCTGAAAAGGCTTGGATCAACACCCCAATGGACATTTTAGGGCGTCAGTTGTAACCCTCCACTCCACTGATTTAGATCCTTGATGAGGGAGGTATATAGCTATCTGATCCGGACCAAAGTGGTGCTGAAGTCGTAAATGGTGCCTCCATCGCATTCGCGATTTGAAGATATTATTGGATAGACAGCCCCGCACACTGCACTTCAGAGATGCCCATAAGTTGTTATACCAGTCCTTTTGATGTTTGTGGTAACTAGTGCTGGTTATAAATATCTTATGTATCCATATTCGTATACTCTTGAAGTCCATCTGTGAGTACTGGAGATATGAGATTGAAGTGATCTCCGTTTTGCAAATGTCTTGCCGCATCCGTGTTCTGAACGAGTAATCGTAGAACGTTGTATAGGAGGGTTCTTTGGATCATATTGACTGGCGTGGAAATTGAAATGTGTGGTGTAACGGAACAGAAATAGGCTCGGGGGATCCCGGCTATTACCAACAGGGATAGACTGGTGGAATCCGATCGGTTTATCAACAGCTAACGATTGACACTATAATGTTGATTCTTGCGAAATATTGAATGAAATCTGAGCCGGATAGCTATTGCCAATGGACACTGCCAGGAATATGATCCAACGGAGACAATGAATGTACTTCAGAAGTCTGTTCCGGTTGCGACATCTTGTATATCGCAGATGCCAAAGCGATATCATCTATAGGGGTGAGGCCGGATGTCTCTATAGATGATTCGTCGATATTTGGGATGCAACCAAAATCATAATTTCCTCCTTGGACCATATCCTGGAGGTTATTGAGTTGCTGCATATCCACCAGTTCTGCGTCTCTGACTGCCGTGTCAGCTGGAGTCGTTGCAAAAGTTGCAATATTCCTCTCCCCAGTTTCTCATCTCGAGTGCACATTGAGTGGTACTCACCAAGGTCTCAGAGCAGGGTCCGAGAATTCCTTAATCCAGGCGACCATCTGAGCGGTCTCTTTTAAGGCTTTAAAAAGCCCATTTTCGCTGCGGAAATCAGGTACTGAACTATTGTTAGACCAGGACAAAATATAGTAGATTGTTGGCATAAAAACAACTTACTTCCGGCACCTGTTGAAATTCCAAAGCCCACAACAGCACAGCACACTGCTGTTATGCTAATAGCACCTTGAACAAAATATCTTAATGCCATTGGCTAAGAATCGTGGCTACAGCCTGCCAGAAATCCTCTGCAGATACGCTTAGAAATCCGTATTCGCCTAAAGAATATTACCGGAGTCTCAATATTCGACAGAGAGACCAAAGATATTAAGATCGAAGGACTCCTCGACTGCAAGGAATAACGTCCCAAAGAGCAGGAACTACTCTTTTGTAACGCGTGAGCCGGATCCCAGATCGTTTGGGCATGTTGAAATGTCTTCCCCTGGAGGTTCCTTGCTCGGACTTCTTGCCGTCCGTGAGGCTATCCTCCGCTTCCGCTTCGTTGACGAACTCTCTCTTGGCCCTTTCCTTCTTCCTCGACCTTGTCAGAGACGACTGTGCGTGGCGTTTCTGGGCAAGCCCACGTTTGCTTGACTTCCTCGGTGGGTGGGTTAGACGGATATCGGTCATCCAGTATCATATTCAAAATATGGTGTTCAGAACAATCAAACGATTTTGAGACAGAAATAATCATATGATCAGGAGGAGTCGAGTCGGAAATAATTGTGCCGATACTTATATAACGTCCTGTTTTCCACTTCGGCTAGAAGTAAGTACCAAATCCATGGTAATCGAACACTCACAAGCCACCAAGCAGACTACTGCCTCGCTGGTCCGATCTCGGTTTCACTTGCGTTCGTCCCATTGGTTTGTCCCAGGTTACCAGTTGAAGGCCCTGACATTATAGTTTGAGAAAGAAGTTAGAATTTGTTCTGCTTCTCTTGTGCAATCGCACGTGTACACGAGTTGTATGAAATATTCTAGCATCTGATAGTTCTCCAGATGCCCTCGACTCGAGCGGTCAAATGAACCCAGTGTTCCAATGGCCAGTGTAGGGTAGGTGCTCCGCATAATGGTGATCACACAACTGATTCTTGAATATCGCTATGGTGTCCTGTACTTGCTTCTGAAAGCCGTTCAGTCCAAAAAGTTGCATCGATACAGACATGCTCAAACATATCTGAATCAAGATCTTCGCGCCATTTGACGACTTGGTCAATTAAGGACGGTACAATCCATACATGAATTCCAATCTCCTGTGACTCCTGATCGCCAAATGTGACGTCGGTCTCTCTTGGTGTGATTTAAAAGCTTAAAATGATCTGTTCGAAACCAACCACGAAGGTCCCGTTGTCGATGCTTATAGTAGCCAAAGCTGGTTTTCCGACAGAGCACAACGCAATGTACCGGATTCAACATATATCAGAAAATCTCCACGTAAAGAGACGAAGAAAGAACTCAACATGCGAATTATAATTGTTGGTGAAAAGGACTAGAGCTCAGGAATACAAAAATATCAACGGCATCTACTTAATTATATATAAGTTACCCTTGCGGTCATGGAATGGTATGAAGGGGAGTGTTTTATAACTCTATATCCCGCAAAGGCTACGGCCTGAAAGGGAGAAGTACTGTACTGTGCGCAGAGGTTGATGGAAGGGACGAAGAGTTAGAATGCGAGAGAGGGAAATAAGTAGATGCAGAAAAGAGTGGTAAGACCCCTTCATCGAATTCATTGATGGGTCCATCAGGGCAGTGAAAGGTTGTAGTCGGATGATGGCGCTTGAACATTTCTGCTGGGGAATGATCTGGAAATGGGGCTGTGAATGTCGATGAGGATGGTTGTCTTCTTTGAATATTCACGAGATTTTGGTCGTCAATCCTACTCTCCTCCGCGTATGGTTAGAACATCACATCACGAGGATGAAAATTTCTGATTTCTTCTAGAAAAATAATATGCGAACCCATCTATGGTATGACGGGTTGAATGCAGGTATGCTCGCATAATTGGTATCCAAATATCGCTCCCGATGCAACTGCCGGTTTCTCTCGAATGCGCAAATATCAACAAATATACTCTTGTGCCTATCCGGCATTACTTATGAATAACAAACTAATAACACCATGGGAATCACTGCGATTACATGCGTCGAATCTGCGTCTCGCCCTTGAACTTGTCGAGCGCTGGGGTGTTGAGATGGCTCCACCACTCGAACAGCATGGAGTTGCAGATGAGCTTGAACCACGGCGTGAACTTCAGGTCTGGCCGCTCGAACATCGCCTTCAGCTCGGTGGGCGAAACATACGTGGTGTCGCGGACTTCGTTGGGGTTAACGTCGAGATCAACGTCCGCCTGGATGAAGAGGATGTAATCGACTGCACGAAAAGTCAGTAATTCTGTTTATGGCCACCCAAAACAGGCCTGCAGGCCAACATACTCTCGTGCTCTCCCCACTTTCCGTCACTGGGAGCCTTGTAGTGTATCCGGGTCAAGAACTCAAATTTGTCCAACGGAACCTGCTCAGCCTTGATGCCCAGCTCTTGGTTCAGCTTGCGCTGAGCGGCTCTCTTGACGCCCAGAATAGCGGCATCCAACTCAGCGCCGGTCTCACCGGGAATGCCTAGCGGGTGGGAACAGCAGGTGTTGGTCCACATATCGGGAAAGGTGATCTTCTCAGTGGCACGCTGCTGGAGGAGCAGACGCTTCTGCGAGTCGAAGAGGAAGACAGAGAACGCTCGGTGCAGGAGACCCTGGTTGATATTCGTCATAAGATGGCCTGTGCAAGAACATGATAGTTAGCCTTTTTTTTTCTCGAATGCACGAACATTATTGCTTACTCCCCTGAGTAGTGAGGGATAACCCCGCGTTATCTTCCCACGATAGAGGGGCAAGGTAGAGAATAGAAGGACTAGCTTACATGTCTTCTTGGTAGCACTTCCAATAGGCTTGTCATTCTCATCCAGCACAATGCAGACCTCATCCATCAGACGGATCTGTTCCTCATCGTACCCCTCCAACTCCCCGCTATCGCGTGCCGAAGATCCAGCAGCCGACGTCGGAAACACAGAACGCGCCAGGGAGGTATCCACGTCGGGGAAAAGCGTGAGAACGTTCTCCGCCGTGATGGTCTGAGTCATTGTTGTCGTCGTGCTCATCTTGGTCGCAAGAACGGCGTGGAGGAGCGGAATCGCAAAGAAAGGCGAATAATTAATTGTAAATAATAATCTGATTCTGGCCCCTGAAGGCAAAATCACGGGGTCCTGTCAGGCCGCCCGCACGTGCTGGCGGTGAGAAGCGGCAAAAAGATCATCCCCACAACGACGTTAACAGTCTACTTAGTCTACTGTCTACATCAACAATTCCTCTGCTGATGCTCGCTCACTTCGATCACCTTCTTCAATGGAATGGAACCATCGTTCTCAATCTCTGTGACCATAAGAATGACGGTGTCACAGATCAGAGTTCAGTGCAAGTCACCAGCGGTGTACCGTCAGGCATATCTGCAGAGCTGGAGGACGACTAGATAAAGAAGACTTGGAATGAACTGCTACCCAGTACTACACGCTGAACCTGACATAAATCCCACCGCAATGACCATTTTCGGCTTGAGAAAAAAAGACCCGGAGATAGTGATGTGCGGCTGGGATGTGGAAACAACCTTTGTCTCCCCCCCTGTCAGACCGACATTCTGCAAAGCTGAAGATGAAGAAAGTGCTGACTTTGGCTCTCAAAAGTACGGTCGATCACCCGGGAAATGCGAGGTACACTACGGTATCGAGCTTGATCTGCCTGCTTTGCGAATGGGGCTGTACTTTTGACCCGTTGCAGAAAACACGGATCGCGTATGGATGAAACCGTACCATATGTAGCAAGTTTCTGTCGCGCAATCAACCACGTAGATACTTGCGACGTCGTCATACAGCATTTGAGAGTACGGTTCCAATGCGTTCTGTAGTCCGAGGGTGATGCGAGAGTCGGATTTGAGCGAGGTCTGGTCCGTCACCAAGGTCGACTTGTGCGGATGGCCAAACATCAACCACGCCAAAGACAGTAAAAGCAGCAGATGACTTCACCTCATCCTTCAACGGAGGTCAATGACGTCGTGGGTTTCTATCAAGCATGAAGAAAATGCCGTCGCATCACTCAACACCATCGAGCAATTGAACTCGATAAGTCATACCCGCAAATAATCGAGGCAGCGACAGTGAACTTCAGTATATTCTTGATCGGACATTATCATGACATCAAAGCTGCTGTTACTCTCCCTGGCGTACCAAATATCAGCCGTACTCGTTCTTCATGCAGCACAGCTGTCGATGTGTCTCTGCAGAAACATCTAGTTCACCTCACCTGGATCAACTTGATCGAATAAGGGCTGCCAGAGAAGTTCCGGAGTTTCAACCCTTTGGAGAGAGAAACGATATCAAACCTACAACCCGATTTACTTGTCAAGCTCGAAGTTCTAACATAAATTCTTTTCGAATCTCTTGATTCAAAGTTCTCCTCGTAACTATGGTACTCAACTAATAACCAGTTAGTTAGTAGACTCGTAGAGTAACATCTGTCCGCAGCTTGCAGGTAACACATGACGTATTTCGCATATCACAGTCTACCATCTGACAGGGCCTGAACTTTTGTAAATAATCTTAAGTTTGACGTGCGTTGATGCGCAAAAATCTGTCATTCACCGTGACTATTTACGCCGATCAAAATAACGTCTGAATTACCCGAGACGCGATTCATACAATAGTTGCCAATAATTGCAACCAGAACTAAGTCCTATAGACTTGTGATCAGGCTTCTGAAGAGAAAGAAGACTGAAAATGGCGTAATAATGATGGCTAGATAGTCTCTCGGAGAGAAGATCGGAATGGGGCATAAGTGTAGATGGGATTGCTTGTCATTACCATACTACCATATCTGCAATGCCTGACAAAGAAAGCCAAGAGAGAGAGAGAGAACCACTAGTCAGAGGTCTAGCCTCTTGGGGTGTCAGACGTGTCATCAAATAGTGAGATATTCGTCTCCGCAAAACCAGTCCCGGGTAAACTGAGTCGATAGTGATTTTCCGCCCGAATCGCCAGCATTATTATTATTATTTAGCCATCAAGGTATCACCATAGCGTGACCTTCCAGAATCGTATGGACCAAATTGCAAGGATTCGACCAACGCAGAGAACTCAAATTTCCTCTTTCAGGGATATGCTCATGCATGAACGTACATAGATAAAAGTGGCCATCTAATTGTTCAGACAGTTCAAAAGTGTAGTTAAATGAACTTAAGCAGCTTGGCTAACCCCTGTTCAGAGCCGTATTTCCCGTTCTTCACAGTCCCGCAGACATAGATAGACGGGCCAGCTATCTATTAGTTAGTTAGTCCAATTGACTTGAATATGCACTTGACTCAATTGTTGGGTTTTGTCACTTGTCAGTCGACGGTCCAGTGAGCAGACCTCATTCGGAGGAAACGAACGTTGGTTCCATTCTGGGGTGCCGCAACCATCGAGGCGGCGCCTAAGTATGCGGCGCTTGTGAGGTGGCGACTCGACCATTCGGTCTTAGAACTTAGAAGTGTCATGACCCCTGGGTTTTTGGCGCTTTGCATTGGTTGAGATTGCAGGCAAGAATAACGTGTGCATCCTCTAGTGTAGAACGGCCCATGGAGGCGTCGCATCAGGGGCGCTCCAAAAAAATTCCTGGATGCACGTCCCAGCGTCCAAGCGGAACTGTGCATTTATTACTACAGACGGCGTGGCAGACCGTCTCTAGGATAGTCGTTCCGATCTCCGAGACAGGTAAGCCTGGGGCAGCTGGCAATCTTTGTCACCAGTCCCGCTGCCTACCATGTTCGATGTTCCATGATCTCCGAGCTTCTACCATAAGCGATATTAGGCGTCATGGCCTCGGGAAGATCCCCGGGGCGCGGGTGGACTAAATAGTGAATGGTGAAGGTGTCCTACGGGCTCAGTGAGAGGACAAGGCGAGAATGGCCCACTCGCTCTGATATTTGAGAAGCGTCCGGTTGTGTCTCCACATGGTTAACCTCTTATTCTTCAACGACAGTCTGGTAGGAAATAATCTCGCCAATGGCCGCTTGTCTTTCCCAGCGGACCACAATGCTGGTGATTCCATGACCAACGAAGGATCACGGCTAGAAGACTGATTTGCATGAACCTAGACAGAAGAGGACACATTTGGAGAAGTCAGTCATTGTGTCAGCCAATCTTTTGAGAGTCAAATCAACTGTGGCTGCTTGGATAGAGGGGGCCGATTCCGTCCTACTATTTTTGGCTAAATCAACTTCAGAGTTAGACACAGATCGCGCCTTCTGCGCTGTGCGCATTGTGGAATAGGAAAGACACTTGCCAGATGACAGGCAGATCTTCGGAAGGAAACACCAGAGAGATCCTAGGCCCATTTCGCACCGTTGGAAGCCCTAGAAGTGGTTGACCATTTTTCCGGGGCAGTACAGCCGCAATTTGGAAACAAGCATCCCTGAAGATCAGCCAACAGCGGCGACTAGCTAACCGATTAACCAACACCTCGGAAATGAGAAAAACGACTGGTCGACACTTTGACACTCCCTAGTAGTCTCTAACAAGTGGCGCTTCATTCAGTCGATGCTGAAGACTCATGTATCTGCACCGGCAAGATTGGTCGATGGAACCGTCATGCAATGAGAGATCAACATATCCCCTTGATTCCAACATTGGGTACTGTTATCAGATACTGCTGCGGGGGGCCAATGATGCCTTCCATCGAACAAGGCGTAACTAACAACCAGAAGAGATGAATAGTAATACACCAACAAGTGAAAGGAAACAAATGTGGTACAGGTACAGGTTCAACAGGGATTGCACAGATACTAACTGAGATCAGCGTTTTCCTGATCAGTATAGTACTCGGGCCTTTCGGCTTTCTAGGCGACAGGGAAATGTTTCTTGCCTTCAATATGAGGCTGTAAAAACGATCCTAGACGGGCAACCTTCTGCTCTGTACACTATTATTTTTATTTTTATTTTCTTTTCCCATGAACCAAAAAAAGGGGCCAGAACAAGCATATTGAATAGCGCTGCCGGACATCCCCGGCAAGCGGCGACTCGTCTCGAGATAATCGCAAAATTGGGAATCATTCCATGAAGCAACGGAGGTTCCAGTCTCCCTGCATTCATTCTATCATGCCAGAAGACCTTTAGGCCAAAGAGAAATCACAGAGCCTCAGCAGATGCAGACGTGAGGCGCAAGAGGGAGACCACGTGACATTGATGGTAGAGAAAGGAGACAACCCGATATTAAAGAAAAAAACCAGAATCTCTTTCCTGAGTGACCAATAAGAAGTTGTTGGAAAGAAAGCAATAGAAGTCCGCAGGAATTATCGCCCTTGTGGCCTAGTAACGTAGCAAACGTCAAGAGTTAGAGTGAGCAGCTTCGTAGCGACCAAAGCAACAGTTGAATATCCAAATATCTATTCGCCCCGGATTGCATATTATCCCGATGATGCAGTAATTAAGAGGAAGAGAAAAGGAAAGTAAGAGATTGTGAAAGACTTCGGTGTCCTCACTTTCGTTTTGCTGGCGAATGAGGTCTGCCAAGCGGAGACTTCACCGGACCTGGCTGGGATGAAATTCGTGTCGTAAGCGGTTGTTCTAGTGAACCAAATCGGCTCACATATAAGGGACTTTCGAATGAAGGCGACGGAGAAGGATATTGTTCAGAAGGTTCCTGGTGTGTAGGACTTTCGACTCGGTCGTGTTTCCGCTGCTTTCGTTTGCATCCATCCGCGCAGTGTCTGTCATTTCCAAGTGTTATTTAAGAACAGCAGACAAGATAAGGGCTCCAAGGCCAGTTGTGCTTGCCTTGTCAGAGTGTCATGGCGTGTAAACCGTCGACCGCATTGATCACAACCGAATCTTCGTGTACCGTGGTGTATCTATCCACCCGATTAGCGATCGAGTTTCCCAGAGAAGTGATGTCCTTACGCTTTCGACGTGTCTCTTTAGATCTGTTCTCCTCCCAAACGTCTTTGCACAGGTTTCGCATTCGTAACCCTTCCTCTGGCTGGGATCATGCTTTTTCATGTGTTCACGGCAATTTGAGCGTCTAGTGAAGAGATACCCACACACGTTGCACTGCAATCCACTCATCGAGGCAACGTCTCGGCCCAGATCGACCCCTTCATTATCCTTTTCCGACTTTGGCGACAGCTCGATGGACGAGTGATCTACTGAGCTGCTCCGGCCACGTCGAGTGGACCAGTCGACCTCTGAGCCTCCGAAGAATTTCCCATTGAGCTGGCCGCGCGAAATCTGAGGGGATGATGAATTGTCGACCACGACTTGAGGAATCGTAGACATTGTCTGCGCGTGGCACTCGTCCCGTGGATCTCGAAAGAACGGAGGCTCCCAGGCCCCATCAAGCTCTTCTTTCACTCTGACTGGAGTTACTGATGGCGTCGTAGCGCGGGAACTTGGTGTGACTGGCCACGAGCTGCCCGATTGATCGTAGAATGTGCCTCTGTCCGAACAGAATGCTGTTTCATGGCCGTAACACTGAGAGAGGTCCATATTGTGAGACGGGTAATGCGCAAAGTCGAGAGTAGTGTTGGATGGTATCGAGCGAGCTCCATAAGTCTGATATGTTACTTCTCCTGGGATGCCACCAGCGCTGAGAAAGGTGTTTGGTAGACTGTGGTCTGGCATAGCGCTTCCCTGCCATTCGTTCATAGATAGGTGCATCGGCTGAGGCCTCGAACCAAGCCTTGGCTGAGAAGGAAGCGACTCCATCGCGCAGTGGTAGATCCCCAAACCAGACAGTTGTCCGGGATGGTTCCTCATGGATTCCGGATGAGGGTCTAGATGAGAAGGAGCATATACCATCGTACTGTCGAGCCCAGAAACCCCGCCTTGTGAGTCTGCTGCCGACGATGGCACCGAAAAGGGCGGAGGGGCCAAGTTCATAATCAAAAGGTAACCACTGACGTACGAGCTGGTCTGAAGAAAAAGAAAAAGATACTCGAGACTTGCGCCCGCAGCAAACAAAGCTTCTTTGGACCGAAACAACAAAGAAATAATCGATCTCGTGGCCTTGAAGATGAGGGGATGAGGCATGAGGCCACAGGAAGTATATAAGGTCACCCCTATGATGATCCAAGATAAAAATGCTCGTGACGGTCCACCGACAAGGGGGCTGAAGAAACCGTCACCACCGTCATTTGTATGACAATCGCAGAAGGTATAGCCACTGCATCGACGGCGGTGAGATGCTCTGGAAAACAAGAATACATGCCTAGAACACACAAGGCAGAATCGGGGGGGAAAGCAAGCGGGACAACCGGCCCCAGTCTGGAGACTCAGACCATCTTGCTAGCACCCACCTTATAGACGCGACAAATGTTAGTTACTAGTGGCGGAAGTGTGCGATCAGGTATGGGCGTCGGAGGCTTCTGAGTAGACCGGGGGGGTGAATTAAGTGGAGGGCCCGGTCGTCTGAAGCGATTTCTACATTTCCGGCCCCGTAGAATGGTGGTGATACTAACGATGAGGAGCAGAAGGATTAGAGTCCAGCAGACAGGGCGGTTGACCTGCCCCATGCAGCACCTGCTATTCTAGGTCGCCCTAAGGGACCGGGTCTCGTCTACAACTGCAGGGGACTGGCCCAGACAACATACTGCCGGGCATCGCCGGACTTTTAGATGATTGTGTGGTCAAAGAATCAAAGTGGTTTAGCCAGGTCCCGACACTCTGGTTACCTGGCTTGGCAAAGAAGCAGTGCGTGTCGACCAGCATGATTGGAGAGCACAGCCGCAGCAGCGTTCGAGGGAGAGATTATCCTGGAGGAACGTTGCCTGCAGGATCAATAGGCTCGAGAAGCCTGCAGGGCCTCATGTTCGCATATGGTCCAGGGAGGCAAATCACCACAGATTCAGAAGTAGGTACAGCACTAGCCCGTACCAAGAGAGGTCCCTCGAGCCTCTTGCGCCTGAGAACCGCTGCCGCCGGTGCCCGATGCTGTCCAGCAGAACCAAGGTCAGTCTACCGTGAACTTCTTGCAGATGGTTGGGTGCACAACACTCATGCAACAAGACAGACATGGTGGTTGATTCTGATTCTCATTGTTCGTCATCACTGTGGGTTGTTGAACAAACAACATCACATCAAAAAGAAAATAATAAATAGTAATCGACCCCCAAGCGCCCGGCCCTGCCACTAACGGGTGGACCCGATGAGGCTACCGTGCGTGTATATACCAGACAGGGCAGTGGCAATCACACCCCTGGCGCGTTCTCTGCTTGGCCGTTCGACCCCGCGCGCGAGCCACGTTACCCTGCACTGAATGTTGTTTTTTTTTTAAATTTATTGATTGTTTGATTGAATGAATGCTGAAATTCACTGCGACCGTTGCTGGAGGGCCAGAGTGGCAGCGACTCGCTCGACCTGGCTACGCAGTCTCTCCACCTCGTTGATCGCCTCGGCCAGACGAGCAGGACGTCCGGCGGGAACGGATTCGGACCCGCGCGCTTCGGGGCCGTAGCCCGCACTGATCCGTTCCTTGCCAGAGGCCAATGACGGCGCTTGGGCCGCGGCGGGGTGGCCTCGGAGCGTGGGGATGGCCGAATAATGGTTTGTCTGCAAACTCCCAGAGGCGTATCGTCGACTAGCCTCGTACGCCAGGATAATAACCACAAACGGGAAGTGCGTAATTTTGAGCAGCACAATGCGCACCCGGCGCGAGGTGCCTGCGGACAGGAACAGGCGTAAGGGGCGTAGGAAAAATAGTGGGATGAGGTTCTAGAGTAGAGTCAGTCAGTTAGTGAGTTACCTAGTTAGGACCATGTCTGTGTCAGCCAAGCAGTGGCTTCGGGCAGGAAAGCTTGCACGACGAGACACAGGAGCTAGCTAGCACTCACCAAGGGCGGCAGGAAGTATGTTAGGCGGCGGGAGTTGCTGCTCTCCAACACGTAGATCGATAATCTGAATGGAAGACGTCAGGAACGAACCGGTGGTGCTCCTCAGGAACAGAGATAACATACTGGAACAGATATTCCTCACGAGCATGTGACATGACCTGCAAAATCCCATTAGCGTCCTGCTGCAGTTCTGACGTGGATACGGCGGCATTTGGATAAATAATAATACTAACTCCCTCCATGCTCATGGTCATCAGACTGACCAGCGACGAGATCAGGAGCATGTTCGTCATGCAGATAAAAACGAGCCTATCATCATGCCACATCAATAATTATTATTTTCCAGGCATGATCGAGAAAGGAAATTTCATCTCCAACGCTTGCTTCTCGGTCGATCTACGTCGAGGTGAAGGGGCCTTCCCGAAGTCGCGTGAACCCAAGAGCCCCGCGGTGTTGAGCGTGCAACACCGCGCCACCAACGGCCCTAGGAGTCCAACGTGACTGCAGAGAGATGCGAGTGCGATTTGGTGTTTTGTATAAGGACGGAACGTCGAACTTACATTAGGCCGTAGCCGAAGATCGGGGAAATCTAAAAATTAGCCAAGTCAACCATCTAACCGCGACAGCCAACCATTTCCACAGCCACCCGTGTTCTTGCGATTATGCCTGCATGACAGGCGCTTGCGGACGTAAACTTACATCGTGTGCGATGTCCTGACAGCCAATCGATTCAGCCACTTTATAGAACAAGGTGAGAGTAGAATACACGTACGAATCCGAGCTGGCTCGATCTGCTACCGTTGTCAGTCTCTCGTCGCAAACAGCGGTGCATCTCGAATTTCTTGACCGCCTTACCCAAAGAACACCTTCACCAAGATCCAGGACGTTTGCCTCAATGACAGTCGGTCACGGGCCAGCATCGTGAAGGTCGTCAAAAAGCCTGCAGCCACATCGTTTAGCGACTGACCTCCAGGAGGGCGCAGTCAAACCATACCCAGGTACAAGACAATCACCACCGGCATGAATTTGAGAAAAGATTTTGTCTAATACCATCGATCCGTGTCAGCCACTGCCTAATCGCATGCCCTCAGCTGCTGAGCCTGATCAGACACATACCATTTCCTTGAGTACTGGTATCTAGACCACACAGAGTATCAGCCCTTCTTGTCTTGCAGAAACTTCATAGGGATGCGGTGAATGAGTTCAACATACAAGGGTGCCAAAGTAACCATGCAAGCTCACGAGGGAACAAATCCTGGATAATTGATACGTTAGTCGCCACTCAATGAACCTGGTAGAAGCCCAGACGATGCCGGTACTCGCCTTGGCACAAGAAATAAAGCTTGCAGCGACAAAATATCAAAGGAAATGTCCGTGATGGAATCACTCTGCTTCACTAGCCCCACCGTCCCTGTATCCACGATCATTTCAGCTGATATCCTACTGCTGATATCCGGCGTCTCCGACTGACGCCGTGGAGGCAACATATCCCTATTGCGGCTGGAACTAACTTGCGCAAGGCAGACTCTGCGTAGAGATAGGATGACTCACGCGTAATGACAAATGCAAGACCGGTTCCGATAATCCCCATGTTCCAAATTCTCCAAGAATCCATTTGATAAAATGCCATCCCTGCATCGGTGATGCCGCTCAGCTCGTCATAAGAAAAGGCTGCAATCCAGATATACATCAAAGCTTCGAGCAAACTAATTTCGTTAGGATCCCTTTCGACCATTACCGCGTAATATAATGCTAGAAAGGAGACAAAGAAGATTGCCTCGAAAGCTTTTCGATATGCTGGAACTCTTAATCGAGAGTAAGGGTCCGTATTCCTGACAAAATGTAGACTCCGTCAGCCATAATAATGCCGACGGAGGACTTGTTGTTACTAACCTTCTGTTGAAAATTTTCGGCTCTTTCGTAGAATGAAGGCTGAGAGTATCCCAGAAAATAACCTCTCCGTTCCATATGTCATCGATGATTCTTTGTACGACATTTTGGCTGAGAAACTTCTTTGCATGTGCTATGGTTGCGATCTCGAGCGCATTCAGCCCAGCAAACAGGGAAAACTGCTCGAAAATGCACACATCCTCAGGCGTGTTTGTGCTAGCTTGCGTCTCTTTTCCAGAACGGCCCACGAAGCGACTGTTGAGAGAAGATCCTGCAAGTAATGGTGTTCGCTCATCGATCATAGGACTGCAGTATCCCGTTGACCGTGCAAACCCAGCAGAGCCGCTCTCTGCTGCAGCCAAGGCTGATGAATTCTTTCTTGGCGAGGGAAGCTCGCGTAGCAAGAAGTCTATTATTTCGCGATGAGAGAGATAGGTCAAGAATTGCCATGCGACATACTCGCATGCGTATCCACGGCTCTCATTGAGACCCCAGTCGTCTTCAGAAACGTTGGAAAATTGGTACTTTGCGATCCTAGGTAGATTAGAGCTTGTTCCCACATCTTATGGAACCTTGAAACATACATTAAAGCGCAAATGATTTTCTGATTGTGGGCATTTTCGGACAAGGACGTTATCAGTGGCCGCAGCGGATATCCAGCTAATGACGTTCTCATTTGGTCGAATGTATGTGGCACGAGTGGAATGACCTGGATGAGATAGCTGCAATTCCTATGTCAACAACTGCCGTAGTGCAGAGAGATGATGCGGAAATTTACTTTGAGATTTTTTGAACCAAGCCCGCCAGCGACTCATTGTCGTCAAAGATAGGAACCTCTACTTCCGGGTCCTCATTCCCGGGTAAAAAGCTCGATGACATGGAGGCAGATAGGCCTCCAGCGACCATTTCTCCGTGTAAATGTTGACTAGATGTGTGTTTTCCAGCCCGCGTCAACAGTATCGTCTCAGCTGGGAAGAGAGTAAATGATGTATGATGTTTTATGAGCCAGATGGTTTTCCGGTCCCTCAACTTGTCTTATGAGGCTAGTAGAAGGGACTATGGTGCGTACGTGTCTACGTGGATTAGTCTGTTTACTTTCAGAGTTGACATAGTTTGGCATACTGACTCGCTTCCGCAGAAAAAAGTATCCACAGGCGGTATTAAACAAACTCTAAACGATCAAAGAAGGAAACTCGTTTGAATCGTCCTCCTACTTCGCAGGAGATAACAACAATGACTACCCCCTATCGACCACGATGATGATTGAGAGAATAATAAACAACTCCTGAAGACACGAGGAAGTCGGATGTGCGGAAAGCCACTACTTAGGGGCTTCACCGCCCGCGGAAGGTACCTGCTTATCTAAGGTTCCGTTGTGACGTGCACGGCTCCACCACCGTCAGCTGACATCTAACCTGGAGCCTCTTATTATCCTACTCCTTCGACGATCGACTAGGCTTGGTCGCGCTTCTTGCAGTGGATGAACTGTCGCTCTACGGGGCCAGCAAATAAAGTACAAATTGCGAAGCTAGTCGATGGCACCTTTGTACACATCAGCGTCCCTGTTTGGGTAAGAGTACGTCCACACGATGGGACAGGGTTACTCCCTCACGACCCTGTCCGCAGGGTCGGCGGGGATCGACGTGCCAGAGCTATCAGATCTTGTCTATGAGAAGTCTCTGGGATCGGCAAGGTTCATGAAAAGTATCAGGGCCAGGCAGCAGAATGGCTTGGTCTTCATAAAAGTGATCATGAAACCTTATCCTAGCATGAAGTTGGATCCCTATATCAAAGCTATCACTCGTCCGTCTACCCGTCTGTTCAGGCAACCACAGTACTCTAATATTTGAAATCAGGGGAACGTAAAGTACTGGCGGATGTGCCAAATGCGCTGGGCTATCAGCGGGTCCTAGAGACGAGTACGTGTGGTTATTTGGGGCGCCAGTATATCCATAGCTCTCTCTATGACCGGATGAGGTACGGAGTCTATCGATTCTTTCTGACCCCAATGTTATGGCACTGATTCTCTAACATAAAACTAGCACACGTCCGTTCTTAGAGGATATTGAGAAGAAATGGATAGCGTTTCAACTTCTATGTGCGCTACGCGATTGTCACGCGCAAGACGTTTTCCATGGAGACATCAAGACTGAGAATGTCCTCGTCACCTCATGGAACTGGCTCTATCTATCAGATTTTTCGTCATCGTTCAAGCCCACATTCCTTCCTGAGGATAATCCAGCAGATTTCTCTTTCTATTTCGACACTTCAGGACGACGCACGTGTTATCTCGCCCCGGAGAGATTCCTCGTTGCCGGCGAGGATCCTGGAAGCAGAAGCGTGAACTGGGCTATGGACATATTCAGTGCCGGATGCGTCATTGCTGAACTCTTCCTCGAAGCTCCGATTTTCACCCTCAGCCAGATGTATAAGTACCGCAAGGGAGAATACAGCCCTGAACATAATCACCTGATTAAGATCGAAGACCCGGATATAAGGGAACTGATATTGCACATGATACAGATCGAGCCTGAATCGAGGTACTCTGCAGACGAGTATCTCAACTTCTGGAGGCACAAAGCTTTCCCGGGGTACTTTTATAGCTTCCTGCACCAATACATGTCCTTAATGACCGACTCTTCATCAGGTCGAGGACAGATCGATGCCGATACGGGAAATATGAATGAAGCTGATGAAAGAATTGAGCGAATATATTTGGATTTTGACAAGATATCCTACTTTCTGGGCTCAGCCTCGAAAAATACTAGGGACGGCTCGAAGCTCACTACTCCTAAACTTACCAGTCATACTTTGCCTGTCCATGTCGATCTTCCTAATTACCAACATCAACCTTCGAGTTCACAGCCACATTCAGACGACGGGTCTCTGATTTTCCTTAATCTGGTGGTGTCTAATTTGCGAAATACCGTCAAGGCCTCTGCGCGAGTCAAGGCTTGCGATATATTACTGGCCTTCGCCGAAAGAGTCACGGATGAAGCTAAACTAGACCGGATATTGCCCTATGTCATGATCCTTCTCAATGATAAGTCGGACATAGTAAAGGTCTCTGCAATACGAACCTTGGCACAGCTCTTGTCCACGGTACAAATCTTGTCTCCCATTAATGCTTACCTCTTTCCCGAGTATATTTTTCCCAGGCTGCAGCCGTTTATTCCCACGACTACTTCAAGCCCCAGCCCGATGGTGCGTGCGGCATATGCATCATGCATCGCATCGCTGGCCCAGTCGTCTCTCAGGTTTTTGGACATGATACAGGCATTACGTTCTGACGCACGTCTGCCCTCCTTGATCCCGTCTGGTTCAGAAGCAGGTTGGACAGAAGATGTCACTTATCACAACCTCTATGACGTCGCGAGGATTGATCTCCTGGACTACTTCGAGGTGCATACAAAGGCACTCTTGACTGACACTGATGTGTCCGTCCGACGGGCGTTCCTCGGTTCCGTCTCCAGTCTTTGCGTCTTCTTCGGGAATTCAAAGACCAACGAGGTAATTCTCAGTCACTTAAATACCTATCTGAACGACAAAGATTGGATCTTGAAATGCGCCTTTTTCGAAGCTGTTGTAGGTGTCGCATCATATGTTGGCAGTACAAGTCTAGAAGAATACATCCTGCCTCTGATGGTGCAATCAATGACCGATTCTGAGGAATTCGTTGTGGAAAGGGTGCTTCGCTCTCTTGCGAATATGGCGAAACTCGGCCTTTTCCAACGTTCGACTACGTGGGATCTTCTTCAGATTGCAGTCCGTTTCTTCGTCCACCCCAGTATCTGGATTCGCGAAGCGGCAGTACACTTCGTTGTCTCTTCCTCAGAATTTCTTTCGTTGGCAGACAAATATTGCATTCTAACCCCTCTTATCCGACCGTACCTCAAGACCAACGTCTCGGATATCTCAGAGCTTGAAATACTCGACGCCTTGAAACGGCCGTTGCCCAAGAATATATACGATATGGCATTAGTCTGGGCAGCGAAAGCAGAAAAGGGTGTATTCTGGGTATCAGGAACTCGCGACAGCACGTTCAATTTAACTGGCGCCGATGGTCAGGTTCCTAGGACTCACAAGAATCGGGCTTCATTGAGCGGACACCCGAAGAATGAAGAGGACGAGCAGTGGTTGTCACGCCTGCGAAGTTTGGGCATGGCCCAAGAGGATGAACAGAAACTGCTCGCTCTCAAAGAATATATCTGGAGAGTCGCTATGAGGCGTACAAAGGAGGCAGACACTGGAGCCCCCTCATTTCTGGGGAATATTATACCACTGACGCAGCATGAAGTCACGCCACAGACGGTATTTTTCGATAAGAATCAGAATTTTAAACAGCGCCGAGCTTCTTCTGCAAAGTCAGAGACGGTGAGCAATATCGACCAAAAGTCTCACACAATTGCGGATGCCCTGCTAGACGCTTCGACGACGATTGAGACTGGCCCAGCTGCTCGTCGAAAACATATGCGTTCCAGGAGCCAGCGACAACGAGAGAACGGAATTAACACCGCGATCGCTCGTCAGAACACTCTGGGGGTTCTCAGAACCGATTCACAAGCCGCTTCCCCGATATCCTCGTCACCAGGGGCTCCAGAGTCTCAGAACTCGTCCGCTCCCAGCTCCGATATTGACCGGAAGACTCTGAATGGCAAGGAAACAGTTTCCAAGGTCGCTGAGCCTGGAAGCCCGGCGACACCAGCCGACGCAGAGAATTCGAGCTTGCGCAGTTTAGGAACAGACATTCGAAGAAAACCAAGCGCTATAAATCTACTCAATCGCAAAGACAACGCAAAGTCCTACGCAGAAACGAGTATGACGTCAGAAAATGCGTTCGGAGAGGTCGATGTGTTATCTCAGAAGCAGACACCGCCTCGCTCTGCTCTCTCGATGGCACGCGAAACAACCATTTCAGATCCTGCTCCTCAGAAGTATCGTGCCAATCATTCTTACGGCGGCAATGATCCAATGGTTCTACGACTTCTGGACTCAGTCTTCGCAGAGAACTATCCTACGGATCTATTTGATCTCGGTCCATTTGTGAAGGAAGTTGATTCGCGCCGGCCCATCAAGAAGGTCACGGGACAAGATCTCGACAAGCCGTGGAAACCGGAAGGCAACCTGGTTGCTATGTTTGGCGAGCACGCCGGGCCTGTTAACCGGATAGCAGTCGCACCGGATCATGCCTTCTTTGTCACGGCTTCCGACGACAGCACTGTGAAAGTGTGGGATACAACCAGACTCGAGAAGAACTTGACGCCAAGGTCGCGTCAAACTCACCATCATGCCTCTGGAGCGAAGGTCAAATGCGTGACGTTTGTGGAGAACACTTATACCTTCGTAAGCGGGGCGACTGATGGCAGCATCCATGCTGTTAAGATCGACTATCACAATGCCAATGAGACTGTAAGGTATGGCAAACCGCAGCTTGTTCGAAAGTATCAACTACCCACGGCAGCCGATGGCACGGTTGAATATGCTACGTGGCTGGAACACTTCCGCTCTGAAGCGCAATCTACTCTTCTAATCGCCACGAACACTTGTCGCATTCTGGCCCTGGATATGAAGACTATGTTGCCGATGTACTCACTTCAGAACCCCATCCACCATGGCACTCCTACGACATTCTGTTGCGATCGGAAGCATACCTGGTTGGTTGTGGGTACAACTCACGGTATTCTCGACCTTTGGGACCTGCGGTTCCGAGTACGCCTGAAGGCCTGGGGTCTGCCAGGAGGGACAGCTATCCAGAGATTACAGGTGCATCCAACAAAAGGACGGAGTCGTTGGGTCTGCGTGGCAGGAGGGAGCAGACACGGCAGTGAGATTACAGTCTGGGATGTTGAGAAGGTGCAGTGCCGCGAGGTATATCGAGCTGCATTTCCAACCCTTGGCGGCACCAACGGCACTGCCGCCAATGGCAACCAACAGAATTTGCGAAATGCTCACGTTCATAATTTCATCAACTCGAGCTGGAAAGACTACGAAGCCTGGCGCGTTGACGAGGACCGGCCTGAGGGTATGCTCAGTCGATTTGCTAGCGCAACTCCCTCTGCGGCTGGAATCGAACCGAATCCCTCCCCCGTTGTTGGAGGCCCAGGATCATCACTAGCCGGCATAAATCCGAGTGGCGTTGACCGCAATGCGATCAGTGCCTTTGCGGTAGGGTTCGATGTGCCAGATGATGGCAAAGAGAGTACAAAATGTGGCTTCATAATTTCGGCAGGATCAGACCGCAAAATTCGCTTCTGGGACCTTGCCCGGACTGAACTGTCTAAGATCGTCAGCGGACTTGACACAAGCTCGGACGGCGTAACGGCTGGAAAGCCTCGCTACGAGACCGTGCAAGCAAGTACCCAACTAGTCGTGACTACGGAATACCTTCCCAGTGTCTCATCTACGACTGCACAAAGCGGAGGAACCGGGGCTAAAGGTAGCAAGAAGCACAGTGGACGGCCGCCGCGAAGCACTGTAATAAGCCTCCAACAGCAACAGCTACTGAAGAGCCACCTTGACTCAATCCTTGACGTGGCCGTTTTGAGGGTCCCGTATGGAATGACAGTCAGTGTCGATCGCTCCGGAATGGTCTATGTATTCCAGTAACTCAGGGGTTTTTTTTAGGATGGCTAGATAGGAGTCAGAGATCATAAGGTCATCCGAAATTACGCTTATGTCCTTGGTGCCGTATGAAGGCGAATCAGATACCCCTCGGTGTGATATTAGCGATTCATTGAATAGACTCTTGTCTCGACGTTACTTTGCAACTAATGATTCAAACATCGTCATGAACTTATAGCTCTTCGTCGATAAAGTAGAAACGATAGTCCACCGCAAAATCACGGCAGGTCAAAGCCAGCTCAGTCGTACCGAACCTATCACATCCCCCCGCAGTTGCGGTGTAGGATCTCTATGGTATAGATCACAGCAGATCCAGGAACCAAAAGGTACCCTGCATAGTACATATGAGAGTGTATTCAGCATTTACTCAATAGACTTATACGTACCTAGGTATATCCCTTCTTACATTCTCCAAAGTAAGCATAACTAAGTCTAGACCCAATTGTGTACCTGACTCCGCATCTCGTACTTTGCATGCATGCGTGCATACACTAAACACTTCGCTGCAAGAATCAAGAAGTGGATTAGCGCAGATAATCATACCCGCGTAACCATAATTCCACACCGCTAGAAGAGAAGACCTATTCTAGTGTTAGCGGAGCTGATTTGGTCCTCCTTTGATTCCGTCTACATATCGGGTCGTCTTATGCGCGCTGCCGATCCCATGGGAGGGTGTCGAGTCTTTGTTCTTAGTGAATTAAGTTGAATAGAAGTCAAAGATTAATTTATCTAGAATACTATACTAGGAAAGTTGTAGATAATTGCATGGTTGAGCTGAGTTGGCTGAGCTCTAGGTAACTCAGCTCAATGGCAAGGATACTGTCGCCAATTACAGTAATACATTTGGTACCTTAGAATTAGTATGTGTGCAAGCCTTAGCAGAAAGTTTTAATTTTATGCTCCCAATTCGCTCGATAATTGTCCTTTTGTTCAATCGTTTCGCAGGAATACACAATAATTTGCTTTGGGCTTTCCTGCGTTCGGGCTAAGGAAAGATGACATCTAACGCACCATGTTCAGGTCCCTATTCTAGATAGTCTTCGTGAGGGTCACTTGAAATAAACTCTACTTAGCGCTTGTTGCTGCAAGCTTAAGCAGTCTATATACTGAAATAAACTACATAAAATACAGACGAAACTCTATCGAACTCATTGATCATTACAATTCTCATGCAGCGTGACGAAGTCGACACTTCCCACCTCCTTGGGGTACTTTATCAGGAGGGGGACGTCTCCTTTCTTCACACGCTCAGTGTATCCATTTCCAAAGTATTCAAATATATGTTCCCTTTTCCCTCTTCAGTTCTTTCAAAGACAAAGTCTTCCCATCGTGGGTCTCGACTGATGTCGAATCGATAATGGCCAGTTCCAGGCCACAGAATAAGAAGTCTTGATTTGCCATATCCGCTCTTCCACCAGCCGTCGCAGTCATCCTTTAATTACCTTAGGACTCGACTATATCATTGAAATCATCAGTTGCTTCTTCAATGGCGTGGACAGCGACGTATCCCCTGTTCCTGGACATTCGAATGACCTTTGAAATATAAGTTGCAGAGATCTCAGCCTGAAGAGAAAGGTGCTGCCTGCGCTGTTCGTGGCCACGCAGAAGAATGTGAGAAGCTTGCCTGTAACTAGTTGGGAACGTTCGACACCATGACACCAGAGGATGTTTTTGGATATCCGATGGGTCCGTCCGCAGCCTATGATTTGCTCAGATCCAATTCATTCTCTCCCATTGTAGGGAGCAGAGGAAGAAAGCCATTCTTGAAGCCGGTAGCGACGACGACAATAATATCGGCCTTTGTCTGTTATTTACCAATCCGTTCGCAGTAAGCTCTTGTATTGCGCTAAGTCCAATACGGTATGGCGGCACGTCACCGTATTTTACGTGACACAAGTGAGACCCGGTGAGCGTGTATTTTACCCCAAACTTCCACCTCCGCGCCCCTCCCCCTTTTTTTCCCACGATAAAGCTATCTAACTATCCTTCTCCGGCTTAACTCAAGCGTCATATCGAATTGGGACACCCCGCCAAACATGAAGCCGCATCGCATTCATGCCATCAGGATGGAGAGCCAGCCATTATCATTATTATTGACGGCAACTTCCCATCACAACTGGATGCTGATTCATGGCTATTCATGGCTATTCTGATGCGAGCGGACCCGTCTTGATGTCATATTGTCCAAGTTATTCCAAATGCTTGTGGCAAAAGCCAACCCCGCGAGTGCTGATAGCTACGGCAGCCGAAAGCGGCCATTGCAGACATGCTTATATAATTAATTCAATCTCTTTAAGTTAAAAGTCGCGGAAATTTACAACTCATGACGCTCTTGTCGTTCATTCATTCAATTCAGTCTCTCTCATCCCCATAATAATGGCTCCCCTCAAGCTCAACAGCAAGAACCTTTCGCAGATCGCGGCCGCCGCAGGTGCCGCCAAGGTCAGGGTTCCTACCTACCAGCGTGGTCCTGCTGTTAAGGAGGGAATTGTCCACGTTGGTGTTGGAGGCTTCCACAGAGCTCACCTGGCTGTCTACGTCCACGAGTTGATGCAGAAGCATGGCGTGACCGACTACGCAATCTGCGGTGTTGGTCTGCAGCCCTTCGATGCGGGCATGCGTGATGCCCTGAGATCCCAGGACCACCTCTACACCGTCATTGAGCGTTCGGCCAAGGGAAGCTTTGCCAACGTCGTCGGCAGTATCAACTCATACCTCTTTGCCCCTGATGACCGTGAGGCCGTCATTGCCAAGATGGCACACCCTGATACCCACATTGTCTCGCTCACCATCACGGAGAGCGGTTACTACTACAACGAGAACACCCACGAGCTCCAGAGCGAGCACCCTGACATTCAGTTCGACCTTGACCCGGCCAACGAGAAGGCCCCGCGCACCACTTTCGGTTTCCTCTACGCCGCCATGGTCCGCCGCCGCCAGCAAGGACTTAACCCCTTCACCGTCATGTCCTGCGATAACATGCTGAAGAACGGTGCCATCACGCGCCACATGCTCACGTCGTTTGCTCGCCTGCGCGATCCCGAGGTCGCGGAGTGGATCAACACCAAGGGCCACTTCCCCAACGCCATGGTCGACCGTATCACCCCTCAGACATCACCCGCCGACAAGAAGGCGCTCGCAGAGGAGTTTGGCATTGAGGACTCATGGCCAGTCGTCACGGAGCCCTTCATGCAGTGGGTTATCGAGGACCACTTCTGTGACGGCCGCCCTCCATTCGAGAAGGCCGGTGTCCAGATCGTCAAGAATGTCAAGGAAGTCGAGCAGTTCGAGAAGCACAAGCTGCGTCTGCTCAACGGCTCCCACTCGGCCATTGGCTACCCCGGTCAGCTGGCTGGCTTCAAATACGTCCACGAGGTCATGCAGGACCCGCTCTTCAGCAAGTTCGTCTGGCAGATGATGCAGGAGGAGGTGAAGCCTCTCTTACCCGAGATCCCAGGCGTCGACATTGATCAGTACTGCAAGACGCTCATCGAGCGCTTCTCCAACCCCACAATCATGGACCAGCTGCCCCGTATCTGTCTGAATGCTTCCGGCAAGATTCCCCAGTTCATCATGCCCTCGATCGCCGAGTCGATGTGGGTCACAGGCCCGTTCCGCCGCCTGGTCTTCGTTGCAGCCGCTTGGTTCCGTTACATCAACGGCGTCGACGACAACGGCAACACGTTCACCGTCGACGACCCCATGCGCGAGGAGCTTCAGGCCAAGGCTCGCGCAGGAGGGTAGCGACCCGAGAGAGCTGCTTAGCATCACGACCTTGTTCGGTGACGATCTGCGCACCGACGAGCGATTCCTCAAGGAGATCACCAAGGCTATGGAAGACATTGCCCGGGACGGTGTCATGAAGACGCTTCCCAAGTACGTTGACTAAACGCCACAGCTGGGAGCTTTTGGCTTGGCATTAAAAAAAATGGTGCACCTGCGTTTGGCAAGCGTTGTTTTACATTTTGATTACGTGCGTATTTGGGAAAAAACACACGACATAGAGGGTTGATAGACAAACATAGACTGGGCATTTAAGTTCATGCTTAGAAATTCTGTCATTCGTGAGTATCTAGATGCTGAGGAATCTGATTTGGGCTCCGTATTCGGGGCAAATTTAATTGAGGCTTATCTAATAATTCTTTTGAGTTGTGACGTACTGAGTTAAGACTTGAGACGCAGGCCCGTGCAAGTGCCTGGGCCCTTGATAAGAGAGAGCTGATCTATGAGCTCATAAGCTCTGACAACTTAGAGTAGAATAGCTGTAGATATTGCCTCTTGGAGCGTCCTCCTAAGATCTACTCTCCGCCTTCCGACCAGAGTTGGAAATTGACGATCACCGACATCATTGAACCAGATAAGCAGCCTGGGGTTTATTGCGATAGAAAACAAAAGCGTTTCGTCGTATGATACTTGACTCTCTGTCGTTGCAAAACGCTTTCACTTGATTGGAGGTCTGTTTGTTCGGACATCATAGTTCCCTGGAAGAAAGCATCGACATCTCAAGCTCTAACTAAGTATCCGACCTTCATTGGGTACCTAGGTATGTATGTATGTACTATATACGTAAGCTAACTAACTTCATAGTTAGTTGCCTTGGACTTCTAGTAGTGATGTAATGGAACATGATAAACGGGTATGTAGGTAATTATCTAATTGCGGATGAATAACATATCTACGCAAACGAAAGTTATGTTCCCCCTATCCTGCAACGTCTCGATGGTGTATATACCTAATGTATAATATGTATGTACATATCCTTGATCTATCTCCTCAACTCAATGAACAATCTTTCTGTTCCGTTCTGTTCTAGACGAGTACATCTCCAGAAGATATCGTGTTCGGGACTGACTACTCGTGCAGAAGTGATCTTCGCATTCTAACTCGCTTCTCTTGAGTCGAAGTAATTCGTGAAATGGGGCGGTCGACACCCGACTTCAGTTGAGATATTCCCTATTTTCATGATTCTAATCGCCCGGACTGAGGGAGGAGATGATGGGAAGTACGAAGAGGGTTGGGAGGGGGGGGTTGTATGGTTCTCTGCGGGGTGCTAGGTTGAGGGAGAAGGTGTATGGGGATGATTTACGTGAGAGATTATGTTGGAAGTTAGTATGAAATATAAGGTGTATGATGGGAAGTAGAGACTTTCATATTTATAACGGCTGATAATATATGCGAGACACGAATAATAAATAAATAGGTTTTTGGAAAGAGAGAGTCATTACAGAAAGTAGGAATTCGAGAATGTATTTCACTTGCAAGGGTTTCTTTTATGCTCCGGTATTGATTGAAATTCTGAAGAGCTCTCCAAGGAAGCATTCTACAACAGACTTGCTGCATCGATTGCTTTGCGACATCGTCGATTTTAGAGTTTCAAATAGTTGATTATTTAAATATTACTGCTATACTCCGTACAGCAGATGTCGAGATCAACTAAAAGGCAGCTGACACATCTACTTTCCGTCTGTTCTTCCTTATTAGCTTGGAAACCTCTGCGATATCGATCACTGTATTGAATAATGTGATAAGGGTGTTCCATCATCCATGAAGTTTTACTTAGTCTCTTCAAGGATTGGGCGCGCTTCCCGGAGCGGTGTACGTTCGGCCGAAGCAAAAGCTGACGCGATGAAGCTGAAGTCGACATCGACTCTAAAACGAAACAGGTACTAGCTGTCCCCACTTACCTGGGTATTCATATAGTAATAATATTAGAACTTGAAACGTCCAGTTAGATCTCACATCCTTGCTGTGCCAAGGGACGCAGTAGCTGTGGAAAAGCGATGGGAGATTCTCTGTATGCGTCCTGTGGCCAATCCCTTGATGACTTCCCCCTTGCACCGGATGTGATTATGGTACACGCGGGGTCAAGGGATAAGAAGAACAATAATGGCATTCTGCGGGAATAATAGTGGGCTAGAGTACGGATGCGTACCTGAATCTCTGCCGCGGGATGCATCGACCGAATCCACGTCTTTGACCTCAAAGTCCCACTAAAACCCCTCTTACCCACGGTTCGTGGACGGCATCGAGATCCACCGTTCGCACTTACGGCATAAGAAGCGGTGAACTGGGAATAAAATGGGTCCAAAGAGGCTCAGGCTGCAGAAAACATGTTGAACCGGCATCCCAGAGGGATTATTATTATTCGAGGGGACTAGTATTTGTAAAAGAAGCTGAAGTGAGGTTGAGAAGAGGGGCGAGAACCAGGATGAGCCGAGCCGCCGATATGAACTGTATTCTCGGCTTCCGGATTGCCGATTCTCGCGGTATGGTCTGTAGAATGAGCCACAAACCCGGATAATTTGCCGGAGATATAATCACTGGTTGTTTTGTCTTTTTCTGCCTTCTGATAAAATGTAATACCTAGTTTATCAGCAGAGACACGAGGACAGACATCGTGAGATCGATCGACCGACGCACAGCCTCGCGTTCCCAATGAGATCTAAAGCGAAAAACTTTAATCGCAACTAAGCCAGAGTGATTTGTCAAGGCCTAAAGACCAGGATACAGGCACGTCTGACACCAGAGAATATCGCAATAAAAAAGAGATCTGCAGATCGAATGCATAGATTCCGGCTAACAAGTGGGAAGTGCAGTCAAGTAAAGGCGTGGCAAATGTTGTACATACGCTCGAAGACTATGCAGTACCTAGAGTGGATTTTATGCATTAGTAGAGTCTCTTCTAATAGCCAGGACACAAATCACCGGAAAATTGAAGAACACGTATTAACTTAACTGCTTTCTTTGAATGCCTACTCCGTATGGAGTTCACTGGAGGTTATAATTATTGTTACCTGTACTCTGGGTAGGATCTCCAGACTATCGAAAGCTCGGGTGCGAGCCCATGGGAACCAATCAGCCCTGTGCGCAAATTGCGCGCAGTTCATCGATTCCGTTTGTATCGCAGAACATCGTCTCCAACGGTTTTACTGTTCTCTCCGAGTCGCTAGCGCTGAATAGGAGCATTCATTCGGTCATAGGCTGGGGTTTTATCAACAAGGAGTTGTGCCTTAAACACCCTTATTAATAGGTGCCGAATATGACGTTCTCCAAGGATAGTTAGTTATCATGTTGATCTAGCCTCCCCGGCGCGCTTCAGCGTTTGGAACCCTTTAAACTCCTATTTTAAAGGTAACTAGTATCAGGACGCTGTGGTTTTCGCGCTTTTCCTGGGTGCGAAGTTTGGTCGATAGATGAACTAACTACGGAGTAGTGTCAGGGGTCGAAGTTAGATCTGTGGTACGTGCTCTTCCAGGCCAACCAATGGGCGAATTTGATTTTTCCATAAAGCCAGCGTTCTGGCAAGCAGAATTCGGGACTGGAAGACGGCGCGGGAACCGGTTCCAGGCTCTGGATCGAAAGCGGGCAAAGCGATTTGGAGTCCAAAGGTGACGTTGTGGGTCTGCAGAGCCAAAGGGATGAAGCGGGCAACGCCATTCTGATGATCGGCTCTGCAGCTGTGAGCAGTCGAAATTTGCAGCTACCGTATTATTGTGACGAGCTGCATATTCGTTCCCGAGAGCTGGAGTTCTGCGACAGATTAGCAGACAGAGATATGCAGGACGAGGGGCTGGTCCGAAACACCTATCCACTGGCAGTTCTCGACACATCAGAACTGAGAGCACGACTGCTGCCCATCCAGACTCTCAGGGGAAGCAGCAGGTACAGAAGGACGGCGTTGGTCTCGTGCACGACGGTCTGGCGGCCAAGCAACTCAAACGCCTCACGGTGCTGTCGGGAAGAGGCAGATGGAAATTAGCCACCATGGGCTCCAGCATTGATGCTCTGCTCTGCAGAGTCCGCAGCAGCAGATGCCTTTCCTCGCAGTGTTAGTGTAGTGTACAGTGTACACCATACGAGTAGAACCCCCAAAGGATATTGTAGCGAACATCAATTGAGCAATGCATAAAGTCGTTATTTTAGCGGTGTTTCTACCGTTGGTGATGGGCCAGTTCTCCTTATCCATCAGAGGCACCCCATGTTTCAATAGAGTCCTGCGATAATTATAACTGAATGGCCTGCACCTTCTGGGTTTCTGAGAGCGCCGATCTTCAGGCATTCAACCACCTGGTCCCAGACAGGAACGGAGGATGAAGTACCGGATTGCGGCGGATGGGCGGATGCTGAGCAGATAATATCGATCCATCCTACCAGCAGGCCGCGCGTAACTCATGCTGGTGCGATCAAGAAGCTGGATAGAAGAGAAGACGGCAGTCATATGCATCGCAGAGAAGCATGGTTGTCCTGTACATACGTACTTCCAATACGATGTGATTCCATCGTTGAAGATGTGCCACCGCTCAATCTCGCTTAATTTCATTTCCAGCTCGTCCATTTCTCGCGGTTGAAGGCATCAACCCGCCATGTGGCCCTGTTGGCGTCGTAGAACCAGAAGAATACGGGCCTTTGCATTGTGGGCGCTGCACATAATCAGTGCCATCATCCATCAAGTCCCCCACTGGCAGGGCTATCTGCACTCCGTAATTCTTTTTTGTCTGCGAGATGGTAGCCGCATAGACTACTGCACGCCTGCGATATAGAGTGCAGTATCTAGTACTCCGTAGTAGCTTTGCAGTTGAACGAACTTCTGAGGGGTTGAACCGTGCTCTTGTCTGCTTTGAACCCCTGATCTGTTCGATAGGAGCGGTGGGAGCTCCCAGCTCAACTCCAACCACGACCAACTCCAGAGTCCACAACCCACACTTCTCAGTCGATCGAACCCTTTCTGCCCGCCACAACCCCTGCATGATTATTCTGGGCTCCGTTATCATCGATCATGGCCCTGTTTCGTATTCTTCCGGCTCTCGTGGAGGAATCGCCTCGCGTGGGACGCTGGAACGGCCGGCGCTCTGACCGGTCCCACGCACAGGCGCTTTAGGGCGATTGCTGGTCGCACTCTAACGAAGAGGATATGCTCTGGGATCCCTGAAGCGGGAGCTTGTCCGTGGCCATCGTTGCTGTTCCTGACTAGACGACTTCAAGGCTAACTGAGTCCGCGCCGTCGCGATTAGGGAGCAGAACTACTGCTGGCCGCCGGACCCGTGATAATCTCCCCCAAGCTCCCACTCCGACCCTTCCAGCTTGTCTCTTCTTTTTCTCTGCCTTTTCACTCCTCTCCAGACTCCCATCGTCCTGGTGAGAAGAGGCCCGTTCTGTGTCCTCCTTCAGTCTGTTTGGAGGTTGACCGTCGAGCTGGAGATGTCCATCGCTCTATTGAGTCGGCAGTGAATCTATATCACTCCCTTGAACCCCCTTTCCAGGTGGCGCCCCTTCGCACGCTCGAGAAGCGCTGCGGTTCCTGATCCTTAATTTCTACTGCTTAATTTCTGCGGATTTGGCTCTCTCGTTCTACATCCCATACACCGGGATCTCTTAAATCCAAATTATCGCGTCTTGGGGAATCGCAACTGCTACAGCGGGTCCTCAATCACCACCACCCCCGACATAACTACTTAGATATTCGCGTGTGAGCCGACGTTCACCATGGCTCCTTCATTAAGGGACCACCCTTCCTTTGTTCGTCCATCGACGCGTGATCGGCCTTCGACCAGAGACCAGGACAACTCTCTGATTATCCCCAGTCGTACATCGTCGCTCCACTCTCGCATCACGCAGCCGATTCCTTCGACTCTGAATATTAAGCCTGCCCAGCGGACCCCCAAAACCCTTACCCATGCCTACATGGTCTGTGGTGTTGGCCGGGAGCCGTCCCAATGGGTGAAGGCTCCCCCGCCAGCACAGGGAAAGATTCAGCACATGAAAGGCGCCGTGGGCCAATTCTGGCTTCCAGAAATCTTGGGAAGCAGTCCTAGACTCGAGCAGGACAACGAGATTGCTAGAGCTCTGCACTCTGCCATGCGGGTAAGTAGATATCACTTCCTTTTATCGAATAGAAATGGATTCGCTATCAGGTGACACAAAACGAAATGGATATGAACTGACAAACCCAAAGGCGTGCTTCCCCCATGATGTCGAAATCTGCACTGGAAAGACCCAGCCGCACTGTGTGCACCATGCGTTTGTTTTGCAACAGGATTCTTCCCACACACTCTACGGTATTGCTCTCCGTGTGTGGTCGCGGGCCGATGAGAAACGCGCGGAGACCATCCGCGAGCTGCGCAAGAAGACGGAGCCCGATTTCTACGACAGCGCCGATGAGACCTATTGGATTCCGTACTGTCTGAGTTTCCTCTCTCGCTATCCTCTCTACAACCTGCTGGGTGATTACCTTCGTGGCATGTGGATCCACTGGAATAAGGCTACCAACCTCTTCCATGCGGAGGAGGTCTCTCGTATCCTGAGTTTCCCTGCCCCTCGTCTCAACGACCTTGTGCGGATCGATATGAAAGACTATGCACTGTGCTACCAGTTCCCATCTTCGCCTACAGGCTTCCAGAACTTTGCTATGTGGCCGTTGTTTACCTGCTTGTCGGTCCCTAACATCGTAGGCGTGATTGAAGCGGCAGTTTCCCCGACCCGCCGTATTATCTTCGTCAGTCATTACCCAGCGATGCTTACTGTTGCCGCTGAAACGATCCGGTTCTGCGTGCGAGTATACGAATGGAGCGGTCTCTACGTCCCAGTGGTCCACGCCCGTCACGCAAAAGACCTTGTCCAGGAGCCTGGACCATACATCCTCGGTGTCACCTCGGAATGCCGGACGCTCTTCACTGCCCCTTCGGATGCGCTCGTCGTCGACTTGGACCGAAACTTCGTGTTGACCTCCAGTCCTCCCAATATTCTGACTCCCGGCCAGAGGACCAAGATGATCAACAGACTCACCCAGGCTCTGAACGGTGATGTTCAACCTACCGGTGTCCCTCAGCATCTTCGATCTGCCTACGGTGGAGGCAAGCTGATCCCCGCCGGTCAAATCATTGTTATGAGGGGAGAGGTTGAGAGTATTCAGGATCCAGAGTGGTGGAACCAGGACTCTGTGATGAGTGTCATGGACCATGTCTGCGAGAAGTTGGTGAGTAAATTTGCACCTTACATAGACCCATTGAACATAACTGACCTTCCTTGTAGGGCCGTAACACCGGTATGAAGGCAATCTTCGGAGGCTCCGTCAAGAAGCCACTCATGACCAAGGTCTCCATGAGACACCTCAATGAAATCGTCAGAGAGCGCAACCAGTACTCTAGAGATGCCATGGAGGCCTGGCAGGACTTCATTAACCTCAAGGGAAGGATGGATACCGAACTGGCCAAGGTCGCCAAGCGCAACAACTTCCTTGTCGAAGAATTGGAGAGCTGGAAGCAGCAGGTTGGTTTTTCCTGACTCTAGTGATATGACAATTGTCGCATCTAACATTTTCTCTCAGTTCCTCAAATTCCAGGCCTTTGCTGAGCAGCTCACGAAGGAAACATCTGAGCTCAAGGTCAAGATTGAGAGTCACAAGCGTGAGAACCGCCGCCTTTCAACTCTCATTGACCAGCAGAAGGACGACGCCGCTCGTCTCACGCTCCGTCTCTCTGGCACTGAGAAGCAGAGGGATGACGCTCTCGAGGCTCTTGTTTTGCAACAAGAGATTGCCGAGGAGCTTGAGCGCGAGAGGAAGCGCAACCAAAAGGAACTCGCCGCTCTGCAGAACACCAACAGTGCACTGGCTCGCCAGCGTGATGAGGCTGTCCGTGTCGTCGTGCATCTGCGCAGTCTCATCAGCGGTCAGACTCATCATGTGGAGCACTTGATTCGCTCGATTGGCAGCGCACCGGAACTCTCTGACTACGCTGAACGCGTCGAGTCGCCTGAACAGACGGAAGAAGGACAGTCGCAATCCAGAAGAGGAAGCAGGGAGATCCTCGCTCGGAAAGCAAGTGCCTCCCGCCTGAGCACCTACCGTCGTTCGATGGCCTCTCGCCGCTCGAGTCGCATCCTCGGAGGTGATGCGAACGCAGACATGGAGAGCAATTCTAGCACCGACAAGGACAACCGTCTCTCGCGGCTCAGCATGTCCGACGTTGCGGACCGTTACTTGAGGGACAAGACTGATGCCATTGCGGACATCATCCGTAACATCAGCGACCAGTGTGCTGCTGCTGTCGAAGGGCTCCATCTTGCTCAAGGTGCTGAGGAGATGGATGACCTTGACGACATGGAGAACCAGGGACAGGATGGAAGCACTGTCGCACCTTCGGATGATGGCCGTGCCCAGTCTACCCGTGACGGAAGTGAACTGGGTGAAGGTGAGAGCAGCTTTCTGAACGCGGACAGCCGAAACAGCATCCCGCCAACCCCGGACCTGGTGCACAATCGTTCCAGCACCTCGATGTCGATGGTAAGCAGCTCTACTATCCCGGAGCGCTCTAGCCAGCAATATGGCCCCGGCGACATCCCAACCAAGATCGTTGAGGATGATGACGAGACTGCTCATGAGACCGACGGTATGGATGACCGTACCGAGACTGGAACAGTTTCCAAGCAGGCTAGCCAGGACCTGATGCGGCCTAATACGACCCGTGTCGTGGCGTAGGTTATATACTCAGACGACCATGCTTCGGCTTCGATGATATGCACGATATCTGCTCTTGCGGAATAGTACAGTTCAACCGAAACACTTGAAATCCACCGGTGCTGTCTTTTGGATATTGATTTTGTTTGATTCGTTATTCATTTTCTATATTCCCCTTATATCGTTCTCTTCTTTCGTCGGGAGGGACGCGTTCTTTGCTATTGTCCTTTTTGGTGGCCCGATTGGATAGTTTCGGTCCAGTTCGTTTTGGAATTTTCTTTTTGTATGAATCTTTCCTACCCCGTGTCTTGTCAATTTCAAGCCCTCCTCGCCTCTCCGTATCGGTCTGGCATGTACCATACGAGAGAGATACAATGCAACAATGTCGCCGGGCCGACAGTGCACTTCAGGCCAGGCCTCCTCCTTTTTGTTTCTTTGCCGTCCTACCTCGCGTCGTCCAATGGGGATATTTCCTTTGTTTTTCTCTAGCCTGCCTTTTTGCTTACTCATTGAGTCCCCCCTCCAGCTCCATTCCGATTGATTCGGAAGTGGGCGCTGTAGTAGTTCCTATTGAAATGGATTGGGAATGTAGCCTTTTTCTTTTACTTTCTCCTACAATACGTCTCCTATATTTTTTATAATCGATTCCCGCGGGAGTATAATGTGAAAGTCGCCCGGAGAGAAAAAGCTATTGTTAATCGCCTCTTCAGGTAGTTATTGCATTAAGTCTATAGTTACGAATATCGCCTTAAACTAATCTTTCGCCAGTGTGGAACTATAGAAAATGAACGTCTTCGAATTTCATACTCGACCAATGAGAGCATTCAGAGGGAAGTACCATCATCGACCTTCCATATCTCTACCACTCATAAATCTTCATTTCCTCTCCGATGATCTGCTTCTCATCCCACTTAAAGTCGCCACCCACCCAGAACTCATGACCGCCTTCAATCCAGAAATAAAGCTCGCCACGAGGACGCCAATCGTTCCAGGAGTCCATTCTGATTCTGAAACCGCGGCCTATTGTTCCTCTCTTTTCTTTGTGGTATTGTGGTGGGATATTGATCTTGACGCTGCCGAAATGTCTTATCTTGTTGAACCAGACGTCCAACTGTAGGCAAAAAAATAAGAACGAGGACTAGTAAGAATGATGCACTTGTTTTTATGGGAGGGCCAAGATTTGGGGAGGGTGTTAACTTACGTCCATACCCTCATGGCTCCATGTAAATTCGACCATCCTGTCTCTCCAATCCTGAGCGCTAGGATCGTCTGCGGGCTTGTCTGTTGGAGGTTCTGTTATCATCATTATTAGCTTCGCTTTTCAATCCAAAGTCGGGATAGAGGCTCCTCACCATCTCGTTTGTGTTCCGTAATCGTAGCATTAGGAAGAATCATAGCTCTAATTCCATCTAAACACAGACACGAGTTGTAAGTATGATATCCCCTTCTTGATATGTATTTATGAAAAATCGAGCAAGTGGATAAATAAATGGTTCATTTCGATTTATGTTGTCCTCATAGAGCTTGTCACGGCTCCGTCGGATCATTAAATCAGTATTCCAATGTTGGATAATCATGTATGTTCTATTTGATAGCTGTCGCAAGTAATGAAATAGATGAATCGACTTACCATCTTGATGCTCAGTGCTTTTGTCATCAATTTCGACGCTGGGTAGATTGACATGTTCCGTTCCGTGTAGGATTGAAAGTGAGGTAGTGGGGAAACTACCGTTGGGGACGTGACTGACAACATCGTGGGTTATAGAAACGCGCGTTGGAGCAGGGAAAGAAAGAGCAGTTTGGAAAAGTGAGAGAATCGATAGAATAATGTAGATATTGATTGATGACATGATGATTTGATTGATGATTTAGCGACTTTGTTGTGTTTTGATTCGGTAAGCTGGTTTTGCGTTTGATGGAATCGTGATGTATTAGACAAGAATCCAAAGCTATCCAGGTTAGTGGAAAGGGTGTATTTATACCTCCTTGATAGGCATAGGGACTTGACTAAATCTGGATAGAGCTGATGTCCCATAATTGTCGTGTAAACAGTCCATGGATGTTTCAACAGAAATAGTATCACTATTTTTCTGGAAGAAGCGTAAGTCTGGTTGTTTCAAGCTATCCTGGTACTATAACTATTAGGCAGAAGATGTAGAAGGTCAATGTCCATGTAAGTGAGGTATGGCTTCTTCGAAAACCATGGTACTTAAACGGCCGTACCGGGGAACGAGAGTGTGGTTTCGTGGAACCCTCAGACGCCACATAACATCTGATGAGTATAGCAGTTTCCTCAGATACCTTCGTCGTATTATTATGATGGAGGAATTGGATAAACGAATTTTCAATTGCGCTGAAAAAGGTGTGAGAGATCGGTTCCCTCGGTGTAATGTTTTCCTTGATGCATCGTAAAGCGAATTGCTAATCCTGTGTTTATTTTCTCGAGATATACAAACTATGAATTCTGGTGAGGCACGTCATGCCAACTTGCCTGGGACCATCGGATGTCCCGCACTTAGACCACCACAGACTGCCCATGCCTGTCCGTTTACATAGCTGCTTTCGTCGCTGGCGAGGAACAGGGCCACGCGGGCCACTTCATCTGCCACTGCTCCTCGTTGTAGCGGGTTCAGCTGGCCAATCTTGCGTTGGGTTCCTTTGGCTCGCGCAGCATCATACATGGCCTTCGTCATTCCCGTTTCGATGACTCCGGGACAGATGGCGTTGATACGAACACCGGTGCCAGTCAGTTGGTACGCACATGTCTGCGCAATGGAAACAACAGCAGCCTTGGATGCGGAATAATCCGTGGAGCCCGCATTGGAACGAAGACCGGCTACTGAAGATGTCGCGACAATTGAACCGGACGGATAAGGCTTCGACGAAGAAGTGATTTGCATGGCTTTGGCGGCATATTTGGCGGCCAAGAATACACTTAAAAAGGGTTCAGCGATCACTCCACATTGAAATTGCGAGGGAAAAAAAAGAGCATTGCCAGGCAATCCTTCGACATAACGAAATGTGAAGAAATTCTAATCAAGATAGGAGTCGGGAAACTATACGCACCCTACCGTATTCGTCCTGAGCGTATCCAAAAATTCATCTCCCGTAATCTCCGTGAAGACCTTTGGCTGACCAACGATACCTGCGTTGGCGAACATGACGTCCAACCGGCCATATTGTGCGATCGCCTCGTCGACAGCGGCCTTCACCGAGGCTTCATCGCCAGCGTCGAACTGCCGCACGTGGACGTCAACACCTGGATACAGTGATTCGATTTCCCTCTTGTGCGTGTCCAAGTGGGAAGCGTCGTAATCGCAGATGTAAACGGCCTTTGCACCATTATGGGCGAACTGATGCGCGCTCGCACGGCCAATACCAATGGGGGAGTTAACTCCTGAGAGACAAGCATCAGCACTTATTCTGGGAACCTCGTTGAGTCAACAGCTATCTCGAGTTGATATCTATCCGTAACCTGGCGGAGAATTGAAGCACAAGCTTACCAGTCACGATAACCACCTTGTCCTTCAGCCTCCTGCGATCTAGTAAGCTGGTACATCCATTGGGGCCCTTTTTACATCCATCAGCAGGGTGCTTACGGTCCAACAGAGTCACCAGCCACGTGGCGAATTCTTGGAATATCCTCAAATGTGCCTTCATCAGGGATACCCTCAACTAACTGCTGGCTGAGCGCCTGAAGACGTCGCTTAGCTACGGCGGTCATGCTGACTATCACCAAGGCCAGAAGTAAACAACGTAGTTGAGCACAGTGAAAGACTGTGAATGTCAATTAACGGGATACTGGAAAATTGATAATGACAGGTAATAGAACAAGTAGACAGACTGCTGCTGCTTAATATCTGAAATTATGAACAGAAGTCAGCTTCTACCCAGCATCCTCCCCCAAAGTCCCCCATCGTTAATCGCGATCAATTGCGGAGAACCGAGGCTGAGCAGCAGTGTTTATGTCAGCACACGTGACCCCACGTCACGGGCAGCCAGCGCATCAAACATCCCTCGTCGCGATGAACTTCGTCACATTCCATGCCTTGTCGCCGTCTTTCTTTTCGTTGACCTTGCTTCTTCCTCGCCCATCCCCTTTTTTGGTTTGTCGGGGAGATTCTGGTCGTTGCCGTCCTTTTAGCGCCTCCAAGTTCGACATCCAACCATTCCAGGCAAAGCAAGGACGACACCCAAAGCGGCTGGACCCTTAACGCTCGTGCTATCCCCAATAGAGCAGTCAACCTTTAAAAGCATTGCTCCCTTCTACTCAGGTCTGGTCCGATCTCAACTGTCGACTCTTGTTTTGCCCTACGAAGCCTTCCATGAAGCCCATAACATCTCAGCTGTTAGTCTGCACTGTACACCGCCAACGGAGACATGGCGGAGCTCGATGTTCATGCGCAGCGCCGCTCCTCATCGCAGGCATCGTCGTCATCTCGCAGGAGCCAAAGGGCTAGGACGATTCGATCTAAACCGACCAAGAGGAATTCTGCATCCTCCAATACTACAACGACCGATCTGACTTCTTTCCCCTCCCTCTCACCCGATAGCTCACCCGAGGGTTTCCGTGGCGAGCCGACGTTCAACCGATCCTTGAGCAAAGCAGTCATTACAGAGAACGGTGGAGACGCAGCATACGATATTCATCGCGGGCGCAAAGCTACGCTGGCGCGCCTGACTACGTCCCTGCCTGAAGTATCCGGTCGAACTGCCTTATTTGACGATTCCGTGACAGTCCCAGACGTCCCAGGAGCACTACATCTTGCCGATGATGCACACATCGAGAGACTAATCGCGCGGACAGGAGCTGTGAAGCTAGTGAGACAGTTTGCCCGAGATCTAGCACTACGCGATGCGGAAATCTCGAAGCTCCGCCAGCGCGCTGATGCCCGGGAGCGAGAGCTGAAACGTATGCTCAGGGAAGTTTCCGTCTCTCACCAAGACATTGAACGTCGCCTGTATGCGCTGGAAAATCCGGCTGAGGGTCAAAAGCGGGAGGTGGATAGTGATGTGCAGAGCCGTGATGCATCTTCTGGCCTTGATGGTCTTATGAGCCAGGCCATGCTCGACGAAGTGGGCGACGCTAATGGGCACGATGATGGCCATGTCCAGGCGACGATTAAAGCACAACGGAACGACACAGATGCCAGGTCTGGTACCTCGAGCATTGATTCGGTAAATCACAAAGGATCTGTCCGCGGTTGGCAGGATTACATCTTTGGCAGCACAACAGCGAGTCGGAAAACAAGCAGAGCGAGCAGTGTGATGAGTGACGTCGGCGAAGCCGAAGAGGATCATCCGCGGATCCCAAGCCGCTCATCTGCACGCCGAAAAGCACTCGATGAACAGCTGTTCCAACCTCCAGGGGGCCGAGCAGGGACGACTTCGGCAGCTAATGGAAAGCTTCCTTCGCGGATCAGTAATGGCGACGATGTCAGCATCAACTCGCGAAAGTCCTCGAGGTCGTTGACCGCTTGGACGGTGAAGCTCTTTGCTGGAAACTCTCAGGCCAATAAGGACAACAATGGTACGGATACGGCTCGAACGAAAAATACATCCGGTCAAGACAGGAATAGAACCACTTCGTCCACATTCTCCGCAGGTTCCAAGGGAGCCATATCAGCGGTGGCCTCCTTGAAACGCATTAACAGCAATACCGGCATCCATAACAGCGGGAATGGCTCAGGAGGCACTGTTAAAGTGAACCCTTCGGCGGGACGAAGACAGGCGGCAGGAAGCATCTCCCAAGGCACGATCGCAGAGGACTCTGTCAGACATGCTACCAATCTCGGACCCGTGGAAATGGATGCTATTCTACCACTGGAGTCTCGACCTCCGACTCTCAACTATACCTACAATAACTATCAAGCCGGAGACCTGCTTACGGACAGATTCGGATTCATATACGACCAGAGACGGAAAAAGAGACAAAGGGAAGCCGCCATCGTGAGAAACGACTCTAGCCGAGTTAGTATGGCGGAGACCATCAGCAGTTTCCGCAGCGATCGGTCAGAGAACAACGACGATGATGACGATGACTCGCAGACGCCTTTGGAAATGGCAGGAGGAGCTCAGCTGCCGCACATGACAGCGGAGGACCCCGAAGAGGCCTCGAGCACGAAGAGATGGCAGGATTATCTGCGCATTGCGACTAAGCCGACAGAGCTACTTTCTCATACCCCATCCGCGGGACCTATCATCTCACTCACCATGCCCAGCGAAACAAAGCAACGCGGCCATTCTGTCGCTGTGGATAAAGGTGGCGCCGTCGCAGTGAACTCGAGTTCTCAGCCATCTGCAACCACATCAACCGTCGTAGCTGACAGCCCCGAATTTGCTGGTCGTTCCGGCAACGACACACCGGCTGTGACGGCTAGAGTCACGGTCAACGAACCGGAACCGGTCAAATTGCTTCTCGAGCAACTCACTGACCTTCACGATTCCCTGCAGCGTGAACGTACGGCGAAGTGGAACGAATTCCTGCGCAAAGTCCGTGCCGAGCGCAGACGGGAAGGGGAAGCGGCAGCAGCAGCAGGCGCTTCTGACCGTGGCAGTATGTCATTGCATATGCCTGAAGCAGCACTGGCAGATGGTGAGCTAGTGGGCATTTCAGGGCTGGGAAACAAGGGCAAAGTTGGCCGGGCAAAGTGGCGTGAATTCAGATCGTTGGTCCTGGGTGGTATCCCCGTGGCGCTTCGCGCGAAAGTGTGGTCGGAGTGTAGCGGCGCGTCCGCTATGCGTGTTCCTGGCTACTATGAAGAACTCGTCAAGGGCGTCGGCTGCGGAGATTCCGACCCGTCTGTAGTTGCTCAGATTGAGATGGACATCCATCGAACTTTGACCGACAACGTCTTTTTCCGCAGAGGCCCGGGTGTGGCGAAGTTGAAGGAAGTCCTGCTGGCATATTCACGTCGCAATTCAGAAGTAGGCTACTGTCAAGGCATGAACTTGATTGCCGCGTCTCTACTTTTGGTTATGCCTACGGCTGAAGATGCTTTTTGGATCCTGGCTTCAATGATTGAGAATATACTGCCGCAGCATTACTACGATCACGGGCTACTCGCGTCGCGGGCGGATCAACAGGTCCTACGGCAGTACATCGCAGAGGTCCTGCCCAAGCTGTCTACGCATCTGGACGACCTGGGGGTCGAGATTGAAGCTCTCACATTCCAATGGTTCCTCTCTGTCTTCACGGATTGCCTTTCAGCGGAAGCTTTGTACCGTGTCTGGGATGTCGTGCTTTGCCTGAACGTTACGAGTACTGTCAACGGTGCAACTTCCGGTAACGGCCGTGATGGCACGTCTACTGGTGCAAAAACGCCTCTCACGGCAGAGGAAGAAGCAATGGCCGGGAGTGGCGGTGGCAGCACGTTCCTCTTCCAAGTCGCGCTAGCATTGCTCAAGCTCAACGAGCAGCAGCTCTTGACGACATGTTCGACTCCTGCGGCACTATACACGTACATCAACCACCAGATGACCAACCATGCCATCAGCATTGACGGACTTATCCAAGCCAGTGAAGCATTGCGGAACGTGGTTCGTCGGGAAGATGTGGTCGCGAGGAGGGCCATCGCATTGCGGGAAATGCAAGGCGAAGATCGTCGCGATGAACGTCAAGATGGCGAGAATACTGCAGCAACCAAGTGAACAACGATGGGATCACTTACGCAGCAGCTCGAGTCTGCTTCTGTTTCAATCTTTTCTTTTTTTCGTTTTTCGTGAACGTATCATCAGGCACATGGGTTCATATCACAGCAAAGGCGGTTCGGGGGCTGATTTGGATTTCAACCTTTTTCTTCTTGTTTTTTTGGCGGGACCATTAAAGAAAAACCAAGCATCATCGAGATACCCACTCCTTTTAAGCCATATAGATTTCGTCTGGTTTTCCTATCTTTGTCTTTTCTGGCCTCCATGGAAGCGATACCAAGCAATGCATAGCATAGCCCATCTGCTGAATATCAATCTAGACACGAAATATCTCGGGGCTACCTCTACAAATAGAAGCATTAACCAATGGCATGGCCAAGTAGTCCGGGCAATATGATTATAATCCTTCGGGGGTGATTCATGTGGTTTATTCCAACAAAGTGTGGAGCAGAAGCGACAAGCTGTTCTATGAAACTAATGTAGAAGCTCAATCACGAGCGAGATGAACGTAGTTACTGAGAGTCTTGGACGTATTCGTCTGGTAGTAGTCCTGATCTTTGGCATGCTGATTCTTGATATATTCTCTCCCAAACCACGCAGTAACTCAATGCACTTTTCCCCATGATATCACAACTATACATGCACATAATCCCCAGCAGCCACATCACTATGGTTAGGCATACATGCATGCGTGCACGTATGTATGCCCATACGGCATCGCCGACGAAGAATCGATAACGAGATAAAACAAATGGTCCCCGAGAAGCGAGTCTGCTCCGGAGGAAAACCACTCGGGGACCATTTACACATTCCTTCAGTTCTAGACTCCCGCGAATGGCTATTTTGACAGGGATTCTTTCTTGATCTTTTTTTTGGTGTTGTCAGAATAGTCTGTTCTGTGGTTTTTGGTACTAGTTGATTAGGCGCTGTTTTAAGTTATATATACATCTCTCATTAGTGATCAGAAAGATACGGAGGGTAAGTTAAGAGATATGTTAGATAATACCCATAGTGACCCTAGGGTAGTTATTTCAAATTCCCAGATCATCCATCTTCAGAGAAGACCAAAAAAAAAAGAACCATTAATCAAACCTCTCATGGTCCCCGATAGTGTTAACAACAACAACAACAACAACAACAACAACAACGATTATGTAACACCAGATACCAAAGAAAGTCTCCGAGTTCCCCAACAAAGAACAACTTAGATAACTATTCCGAATTATTCCAAGACTAGATTACGGGGGTGGAGAAAACAAATCCTTTGAAATCTAGCCAATACGCTCTCCTTCGGTGACTTTTTTTGCTTTTCTTTGCGGTTTCGTATGGTCCACATGGTCCCCTAAGTAAACGGCGAGCGGTTCTTAGAAGCTTACTTATTTAGTCGATTTGTATTTCATGTTCCTGGCTTCAACTTCCCCGACGAGCATACCCCGTTCGTCTTGGATTTAGATTGTTGACTGTATGTTGGGGGGTTTTTTTTGCTTCTTGCTTTTACAACTTTCTCTTCTCAGTCTCTGTACACACTGATCTACCGCGCACAGGCCGGTTAATGTGCCGTGTGATGAGACAAGACGTTTTACTTTGCCAAATAACCGTGGAGAAATGGAAGTTTTCGACTTTCCTGGGAGATTCACCGCTTTATTTCACTTCACGACATCATCCTGGGCTGGGTTGTGGTACGTTGTCATATTACGTGAGGCTGGTTTGAGTTCCGCTGGGAAGATGATGTTGTTGGCTCAGTCCTTTCTGTCTCCTCGGGCAAGTGCTTGCGTTGGTTGTGTTACTGATTCGGTGCTTGGATCGAATGATCCTGAATAGAGTCCTCTCTGCGGTTGTTGCCTTCCTGTTTACTACGATGGCTTTCGAACCTACACCGTAACTTGTCGACAACGGGTCCATTCGACGTTCAGAACCCCTCACCGCGGTCATGGCCGATACACAGCAGAAAAGGAAGGCTTGCTCATTTTCTTGAACAAGCGACATTGGGACAGTCATCAGTGTGAAAGCTACAGTCTACCGTTAATGCTTCCTGAGAGGAGCCTACGAGATACCTGAAGCACGGATATTCAGACCAGCAGTTGAATGTCGAAGCTGAAAATCTGATTCTATTACGAAGAACAACCAACTCCACAGACGCAACGAAATCTGCGCCATAGGGGCCACGGATACTGGGCGACACATATCTTCGCCCGGGTTACAGGCATTTGAGACACATCAAGCCTCTGCTCGTTAAATCAACCGAAACTAGAGACTCAACCACGTGAAGTGCGCAGAGACTTAGGCTCGCCTCCCTTTCAGTGCTACCGCCCCGCTCAACCTTGGATGTGTGCTCGGAACCAGGATAACCATTGGGATATGAGTCCAAGTTGCTTGCTGGTCCGCTTAGCGGCCATATCCAGGACATAAGGCCACAGCGTGAGACAGGCTTGCAGAGATTCAAGCATCCATGTTGCAGATCTGCCCGTGGCGAAGTGATGGGCTGTGAAGGAAGTAAGCTGGTTACGTCGGAAGGTTCGACATCGACTCGAGGAAGTGACTGCTTGAAAGACCTCAGGGAATACCTCTGGGTCTAAAAAGCAAGGATCATCCTTTGTCGTGGGAACTGCTGTTGAGAGCCAGCTGAAGATTACAGTCCCGTCTCCGCACGGCACCAGAGACGGTCAATCATCGATCCACGGGTCAGACAAAATAGCTCCAAAGTGCCAACAGAGGTGATATTGGGCCGCTCTATCGATCGCACGGCAGCACAGCTCGCGGCCTTCACCGGGATGCACTGCAGAATCAACTGGCGGGTGCATCCTGCAGCCAGAACTGGCTTCCTTCGAGGAATGCGGTGAAATCAAGCTCATGTTGCTCAGCCGCCGGCCGCAGACCAATATCCAGAACGTCTCTCGCAACAACCTTGATCTGCCGCATGATAGTCTGCGAGATGGCCCAGGTGCGACCAAGGGACTTGAAGACCCCAATGGTCAGAGTCAACCGGTCGCGGCGAGGATCAGGCATTTGTCCCGCCTTCACGGAATAGCCTGCGAGCTGGACAATAGAGCTGAGGACCAGGGCACATATAAAGAAGGGGGTGTGCCTGATTACAGGCAATCGTGTGGCAGCCAAGTTAGAGATCTCACTGGCGGACTTGATCGCTTTCATGGCATGTGTGTGGTGTGAAAAAATTGGCACCAGGACGGTTCCCGAATGACCACAGATGACTGACGCCGCCACAGCAGGTGAAGAGAGCAGATCAGAACGGGGGAAGTGCAGGAAGATGGCGGCGCCGTTGACGACCATGCGTGCCTGGAACATCATTTCATCCACGCCGCCATCAGGGCGCATGAGTTCTGTTTTCGACTCGGGCAGATTGTGATACCAGCTGGCGATTCGCGCATCAACGGCCTCCACCTGGTCCTGCTGGCCTTCGGTGAGCTCCTGGATGGCTACAACGCGTCCTAAGATCCGGATTGCCTCAATCCGGTAGGCAAACGAGGAGAAGTCGACCTCCTCGTCGACGAATACGCGATCGTCAAATTGAGAAACGGTAGGCGGAGAAGGGGGGCACAATCCGTCTCGGTAGATCTGCTCTTCGCACGGCAATGGCACCTCCAAAGGCACCATACTCATCGTGAAGCTTTGCCGCACTCCCAGAGCGGTCAGCATGCCTTCAATAAAGAAGAGTTCCCACCAGGTCCGCCGCAGACTCTCCTCGCGGACAGGATCGCCTCCACTCATGGTCTCTGCAAAATCCTTGCGATTCAATCCCAGCCGGAAGGCCAGATCAACGGCCTTGGCCAGACATTCTCCTGCTTCCGCCCGCTCGTTCCGGGAATGCAGGACGACTGTGAGCAGGATCAAGGCTTGGACCTTCTCAATCGTATCGCCCTGGTCGACGACATTGGAAACAACGTTGGACCGGTAGACTTCACTGGATGCAGCTGGGGTATAATGCGCTCCGATGAACTTGAGGACCTGCTCGAGGTACGGAGGCGGGGAATAGCGGTACAGCAGACGGAGCGGGGGAAGGATGGGATGGGCGGGTTGGAAGTATGTATAGAAGAGATCGACGAGATATCCATCCCCGCTAAGCGATGCGATAGAGTCTGGTGTTAGCGGAGTGGTGGTGACTGTCGCGGGGGGCTGCATTGTCGGCTGAGGGACCATCTGGAAATTATTTCCGGCACTCTCCGATCCGGATGAGGGCAGAGTGGTGGGCAATGGGAATCCGTATCCTGACTGGAAGCCATAATCGTGTGGAATATCCATGACGGGATCAAAGGGTGCATCTGCGGAAGTCTGGTCTGGCGATGACGGGTTTGCGCGACGCCTCTTGGACGGTCCCTTGTACCCTCGACGAGAAGGGGTATACTGACATTCCGACCCCGATGTCGTACAGCGGCCACAGATGGGCATCTTTCCATCGCACTTGAGATGCTTCTGGCGACAGCTGAGGCAGGCCAGGAGCGACGGCCCGGATGGCTTGGGGCCACCGCTGGGCCTGACAGACATGGAGGCTGGATCACCCATCATGAGTCGAGACCTCTCCCTGAATGTTCGATTGATGGGGGATGATGAGGGCAGTTGGATGATGCGTAGAGAGGATGATCCGAGGCACAGCCAGCTGAACCGCGGGAGACGGCGATGGAAATTGCAACTGCAAAAGAAGAGAAGTCTGTTGCAGGGACGTCAATAATAATAATCCGGAGCCTGAGGTCTTGGTGATTAGTTAGCTAACAACGGTCATGAATAATCAGCTCATTCTGGGCCAAGACATTCTGGAAGACGATGATCTCTCCAACCCCGTGCCTCGAGACGGCACCGCAATGTCTGCTCTTGGGTGCGGTTCGCCTCACTAGAACGGCTCCAGAGTTCAACGGCCAGTGTAGGGTAGAAGCCATGGTCGAATCAGATATTTAGTTTGACAATGTATCCGGCCCTTGGCGGTTTTCAGCGTAGTCTCCCAGAACTTTGGTCCGATCGCCTTTGCTAGCAGCAAATAACACTCACGATAGATGCGAGAGGCGGGGCGCCTCGTGGTTTGGTGTCGATGGTGGCGGTGCGAGCGAGCGAGAGAGAACGAGTGAGAGAGAGAGAGAGAGAGGGAGCTTGGACTGTCTAGACTACGGAAGACGACGCGCCGACCAAATGTCAACTTCGGGAAGCTAGAGGAGAGACCATCACTCGTGTATCTATAGGACTAACTGCATAACGCCGACAACAACAACAATAATAATACGAGCGGATCGACACACAAGATACTTAGCTCTTCAGAGCAGTCAATAATAATCTCGCCACATTGGACAGACAGATCAGATCGTCCAAACCGATTACTGTCCCTCCACACTACATCATATCTACTATCTGTCCTCATTCCGTCCTCCGTGCATTATTCGACATAACATCCGTGGATAACACCTCCGCCCAGTTTCCTGGAAGCTATCGAAACACCCCAATTATTACTCGAGTCTTGAACTTCGACCGCTTCTCAGCCCCCGTCGATCGATTGAGCGACCCATCGATCGATCCATCGATCCATCAGACCTTCCACCTTCCACCTTCCGTACTCCGCTTCCTACTACTATCCCAACTTCAAGGGAACATACTACAACCAACCACCATGATTACTGACGACGAACTCTACCGCCTGGCTATCTTCCTTGGCTCGGCTGCCATGCTCCTTGTCGTCCTCTACCACTTCCTCGAGGTCAATGCGCGAAACAAGGAGTCTTCTGAGCAGGGAGAGAAGCGTTCTGTTCCGTCCACATCTGCCACGTCATCCGTCACTGGCTCGAAGAAGGATACTGTGACCGTGGTAGGAAGTCAAGCTATGGCAGGGAATACGGGTGTTGTAGGGTGAGATCGAGAAGACATAAGGATGGGGTTCATAATGAGAGAGGAATTAAGGGAGAGTAACATGCTGGACCTGGCTGCTCGACGGATTGGCTCGTGTACGATAGATATATGATGAAGAGAGTATCACACCTTGAGGTTTACGATCTTCCCCGACTACGATTTCTGGGCATACATACGGTTATTTGTTCCATGGGAGCTATCGAAGCTATTCTTGCTTCATTTGCATTATGCTATGTTCTCGAAAAGACCAGGCATTAACTATCAAGGTATATGTAAATGTCACAAAGCAAACGATCCTTAGACAACATTCACCGCAGACGCCACGTGCTTGCTAAAAATGCACAACTTGAATCCCTGGTCATCCCAGTGCGAATTGGATCTAAAACGCTTCGCTGCGCAGGTAGAAAGAGACATGGAACTAGAGGAAATACACATCGTATCCTGATCGAAATTGGCACACGACGGCCCCACAACAACGCTTAGAGAAAAGAATCCGACGGTGGTATATTTCACAGCTGAATGAATTCCCGTGAAATATAAACGCCAAAACTGTAAGGTCTGCCTGGGTATGAGATTAAAAAACCGAAGACTGATAGGTCACCCGTCTGCCGGGTGGCTTCAACTGAACATGTTCTTCATCGTTGCTGACGGCGAAGAGTCGGTGCGGGCTAGCTAGCTCGCAGCCAGAGGGCTCCAGTGCAAACCCGATGCGAACCATGCGTTGTTCCACAGCTCTGAATGCTTCGCGCGCCTTCTCCTGTACAGAGGCATTCCCACGAACCTGGTTGAAAGCACGAATTGGCGTGAACCCCGTTGGAAAGACGATTGCGCCCGTTTCCCTTTTCTTCTGTACAGTCGGAGCTTCTGGGGTAATTGACGAGCCCTGAGGCCCGTGCAAAAAATCCTGTACAGGAACTAAACAGAGACGAATTGTTACCAGACATTGTTTAACATGAGATCTCAACAACAGAACGCTGTGAGTGTCCGGCTTTCTCACCAGTTCGGCCCACCAAGGGACCGTCACCCAGCTGCCATGCCAGGGAAGCTACATGTGTCTGCTTGAGATGCTGACACAGGTCCTCGTTGGTTTTGAACGCGGTTTTTCCCGCAGGACAGTTCAACCATGCACAGGTGAGGGTGCTGGGGGCATGGACTTTCCGAAGGTGGCGCTCAAAAGTCTTTAAATCGTGCAACTCCGCATCACAATTCTCCCATTCACATCGGTAGATGCTGTAACGGGGAGGTGACGATTGGACAGGAACGGCGACCTCGACCTTCGCGCCTCTCATTGCAGCCTTGGTGGGATTTTTGTTCTTCGACCCGGGCGGACGACCGCGACGTCGGGGCACTGGAGTAACCATCGCGTTTCCCTTGTCTGGTTTTGGTAGGGCAGGGGACGAGTCGTTAATTGATTGCGAGAAAGATAGGCTCGACGGCTTGTGCGTGGATTGGGTGAGGTTGGCTGGCGACGCGGGCCGCGCCTCGGAGCCTGCGTCGCGCTCCTCACGTGACGAGGATGCCGCGCCTTTGGAACGAACGCCCAGCGGGAAGTTTGGCGGCAAGAGGAGGATATCTTCGGGCTCGACCACCGGCGCGGGAGGTCCACCAGGATCCACGAGATCCCAGCGGAAAGTTCCCATATCTGAGGTGAAATCGACGGCGGAAAATATCTCCTGGAGGCCCTGCAGGTGGCTGTTGAGAGGCCGCTCGGTCGGATGACGGCCAGCTGCGATCAACACATCCCTTGCGATAGTCTTTGGGTTGTAGTATTTGCGCCGTAAAGCTTCCATCTTATTGATTGGTTTGACAATGTCCGCTCGCCGACGGAGACTCTCCCTCTCGGTGGCGTCATCTCCAGCCATTGCAAATCGTGAGAGGTCGCTCTGAGCCGCCATCGGCCCAGCAATGCCTTGCTGTGCAGGAGCTTGTGCTTCATGGAGTTGCTGGGAGGCCTCAGACTTCCCAGACGGCTGGTGGTTCTGGGCCTTAGCAACCGTGATGTCTGGCTGACTTCCAAGTGAGGGATCAGTGGATTCAAGGCGAGGTTCCTTTTCTGCGCGGCGCACAGCCTCATCTTCATCACTCAGAGACGTGAGATCCACGATTTCCGAGAAGAGATGTTTCCTAGCTTTTTGTTCCTTCGGTCCAGGCAAAGGACCTGAGGGACGTGGCACCGATTTAGACTTCTTAGTATTAACAGGGGGTGTCGCCAATGCCGGAGGTCGATGATGTAGACCTGTTACCGGTGGCGGATGCCCATGTACAGTTGGTACCTTTGAGTTCCAGACGAACGTATGCGCCTGTGGAGCTGGTGGTGGTACATATGGGCGTGGAGCTTGGCTGACCGGGGCAGCAGAGGGACGGGGAGGAGGAGGAGCTGGCGCTGGTGGTGCTGTTTGAGTTGGTGGTGCTGCTGGAGCTGGCGGTGCTACTGCAGCTGGCGGTGCTGCTGGAGCTGGTGGTGCTGTTGGAGTTGGTGGTGCTGCTGGAGCTGGCGGTGCTACTGGAGCTGGCGCTGCTGGAGCTGGTGGTGCTGGAGCCGGTGGTGCTGATCGTGTTGGTGGTGGAGGGAGCAGCGTTCCTCGTGAATTCGGATCAGTTGCGGGCTGTGTAGCTGACGCAGAACCGTTGATGCCTGGCACAGAGTTCAGAAGAAATCTTGCTAGGCTCCCTCTGTTCAGAGAGAAGCCGCGAGACTCTATCCGCTCACACAGCTCGATATAACTTGAATTTTTATCTACCAACGCAGACATCTCTTTCGCAGAAGCACATTTGCCCTTGTTGGCAGGTATGGTATTCAAGTACTGGACGAGTGCCTGGGCTACCGCCTGTCGCGTGTGTTCAGGCCATATGGTACCAGTCGTGGTCTGCTGAGGCTGTGGAGCGTGTTGCTGAGCCGATCCTGATACAATTTCTTGCGAAGGCGGTTGAGGCGCTGACGAGATCGCTGATTGAGAGGCCGACGAGACCTCAGCGGCAGATGAGCCTGCAGTAGTCGATCCCAGAGTCTCAACAGGCCGTGACTGCGACGACTGCTGCGACTGAACGAGCTGAGCTCCAAGTGAGTTTGTGGCTATCTGCCCTTCAGACGGCGGGCCGCTAGGTCCTGTCTGTTGGCTGCTTGCCTCGAGCTTTCGTTTGGGCGTGGCTGTCTCATTTGCGTTTACTTTGTTCGACTGTCTCTGTCGCCGTTGAGCAGGGAATCTTCCTAAATCGGGCAGACCATCAATGTAATGAGATGGTAGCCGCTTCTTATCTGATTGAGACGCGTTTGATTCTGAAAGTTCCGGCGCTGTAGATAGTGTAGCTGCCGGCTCAGCTGTCTGCTGCGGAGCTTCAGGAGCCGTAGAACTGTCTGGTGTTGATCCTTGTCCCTAGAAGAGGTAGCATCGTTATCAGTAAGACATCCTTCCTGGATCGGACAGATACACAATATTACCTTCCTCACATCATCCCATAGCTTGGCAAACAACGTGGGATCTTTTGATCTCCATTGTCGCATCTTTTCAATCATCATCTTCATCTCGTTTGCCATGTCACCATCGGCATCGCCAGTCTTATTTTGCGGAGTCTGAGACCGCAGCTGTGGATCGATATTCTCTTCTCTTGGTCCCGCCGAAGATTTCACAGTCGAAACGGATCCGGCAGGGGCGGACTTGCGAGGCGCCCTCTTCCGCGGCTTCTTTTTACTTGGCTGATTATCCGATGCAACAGTCTGATGGCCACTGACGGACGCTTCTGAGATAGTGCCTTTTGCGTCGACAGCCGATGTGGCTGACGAATGTGTTGCGGTATCTGGTTGCTTGGCCGTGTTCTTGGCCTCATCTTGCTTCCTCTTCGCCTCTTCTTCCGCCCGCAATGCTTGCATCTGCTCATACTCTTGACGATATGGATTAAACACTTGAGTCGGGTCGATATAGCTGGGCATTGCGCCTGACGGAGATTGTTGGCCGGGAAATCGATCGTTGCCCCATGCCTCCTCCGACAACGAATGGCTTGAATCGGTGGTGGTGTATAAACTCTCCACGGGGATAGACGGATATTTCATTGTATCCTGTGTATGATGTTGTACAGTACTCGCAGACGCCTGCGGCAGAGTAGATACTAGGCTATTCCCTTGTTCGGACTGCCTGCCAGTCGCATCATAAGTCGCGTTATTGGAAGTATAGTCTTCGGCAGTGGTGGTAGGCGGGAGATCCTTTCTCATGCCGTAAGACGTAGACGCAAGAGAAGGGGTCCGCGGTAGATAAGTATCCTGACGCTGGGAAGAGCTTAATCCTTCCCTGGAGTTGGTATGCTTTGCTTGAGTCCATGCTGGCCGAGAGGAGTAAGATGCAGTTGTCCCAGGTACGGGACTTGGATTGGCTCGTGGTGGATTTGGCGTCGAACTCTTTGATCCTGAGTCATAAACACTCTGCGAATAAGTAGTAGGATTTGGAGCGATTTGGCTGGCAGGCGAATAAGAGTGCGAAGGTGACCTGGATGGTAAAGCGGCCGAGAATTGCGGGGATGACTGAGAGTGCCCAGATGGGGGAAAATGTGTCACAGGAGCATAAGGTCGTGCTGCCGCGGACGAATTCAACGAGTTCAAAGTCTGACCAGGTCGAGACACCCTTGGGCGCGCGGTGTCCACTGTCTTAGCAGGGCTGGAGCCTTGCGTCTGCCTGTTCAGAAGTTCAGACTCAAGTCCAGAGGCATACGCCAAGCTGTGCAACGCAGGCGTATCGAGAGCGCGTTGGGACTGTCGTAGAGCCGCAGTTGGATTATTGTACGAAACGGGGTTAATCGCCTGAGCGTTGTTTCCAGAAAGCCGCTGCTGTGAGCTGGTGGATGGATATGCGTTTTGATCGCCAGCATACGCCCATCTATTCCCCATCTGACGGGTATCCTTCACAGACGCTTCCTGCGACGTCTGTCCCTGCCAATCATATACGGATGTGTTGTAGCCTCGTGCGGAAGATTGTAAACTCGAAGGGGGTGCCCCGGGGAGATACTGGGGTGTAGTGTCTTGCTCGTTGACGCCAGAAGCATACTGATATGAAGGATAATTAGGCAATCCCGGATAAGACATGATCTGAGGTCACTTTGACTATTTATCGTTAGAACGAGAACAACAAATAGCAGCTATACAAAGCACATCAGTTTAGCCTACCGCGGTGTTCTGCCTGGGCAACCGATGCGACAAAGTAATCTGATTGCCAGGAGCTGATGGCGCGACGATCATAGTGCCTCTTGACTGCGCGATAGCGACTCTAGGTCGTGGAAGTAGCTGCGCTGAGGACACTAAGCGTGTCGTGACGCTGACACGGTCGTCACCCTGAATCCTCGAGGCGCAGAATGGTGATTAATACGGGACTCCGTAGAGATTCACGAGATAGCTAAGGTTGATAGCCCATAGCGCGCGCGAGCAAGATGGAACGCGCGGAGAACGGGCCAATCACGGCAGAGCCGCCAACCCTAGGCTAAGCGGGACGGTCATGTGACGCACACTCGGCCTGACGCACATTTTCGGCTCGACATTTCGAGCTCCGCGAAAAGAGTCCTCCGACGACCACGACGACAACGTGCACCACGACCCTTTCCCAGAGCCCCTTTGCACATCGACAACCAGGCTCTGCAAAGATGACTATCATCGAACGAGGTGTGTCTTCAGTTCCTGTCTCTGTCTCGCTCTCCCCTTGTTGCAGCTACGAACGTCGATCTCGAATCTAAACTACTATTGAAAACGACCCAACGATTGCGAAGATACTGATGAGTTTTGAACGGTTAGGAATCGCCCACTCGCGGCGGAAGTCGCGCAAGGCGCACTTCAGTGCTCCTTCCAGCGAGCGCCGTGTCATCATGAGCGCTCCTCTCAGCAAGGAACTCCGTGAGAAGTACAATGTACGCTATTCCACCCATTATCGCCTTTCCCACACGGCACTTTCTCTATCGATGTATCGACAAAGCGCCCAGAGTTGGACCGTGGAAACAAGAACAAAATTGTGATTTGGAGATCTGAATCTGACATGTGTGTGCCAGGTCCGCGCTCTGCCCATCCGCAAGGACGACGAGGTCACCATCGTCCGTGGCTCCAACAAGGGCCGTGAGGGCAAGATCACCAGCGTCTACCGTCTCAAATACGTCGTCCACGTTGAGCGTGTCGTCCGCGAGAAGTCCAACGGCCAGAGCGTCCCCATCGGCATCCACCCCTCCAAGGTCGTCATCAGCAAGCTGAAGCTCGACAAGGACCGTGAGAGCATCCTCGAGCGCATCGGCAAGGGTCGTGAGGCGAGAGCCAAGGCCAAGGCTTCTGCTTAAACGTGTGGATATGATTGTTTTCCTTTGATGTTGCAATGGCACTCATGGATGGAGTCTTGTGGGAACCATAAAAATGAGAAGAAGCCTGCATCCAGGCGGCGTTTCGTTTCAGGACGAGCCCCTGGTGTGATGGACGGGAAAAGCGGGCTCAGGCTGGTTGGTTGTTGGCGATCGTTTTGTTATCGGCGTCATCTTTTCCGCCTTAATGCATAGGTACCGCCCGTCAGAGCTACAGCTAAATCTCAAAAGAGCTCAAACTTTCCTGATGTTCAAGTCTTGCCATGATGTCTTCCGACGTTACGCTATTAACCATACGCAGGACTCGGATTGCGGATGCCATGTCTCGCCCAGTTTCCCACCCTTTGGCCTCGAGCAGCAGAGTTTTCTTTGGCCCCAAGTGCACGTTACCCTCAACCCTACGACTCCAACACAACCCCTCGGATCTGCTGTCTCGCGTGTCACACCTCCCACATGCGCCCGTCTGCCTCGTAGTCGTTTGCCCGGATTTCCGTTGCACTCCATCCCTGGAAGCACAATTTGGGACCGTCCTCACTCGAACCTATCTGGGTGGATACCAAACCAAAACCAGCAGATGCGCCAGTATTATCTCCGCATCAACCCCGTTCTCTTCTGAGAATGGTTACATCAATGGTTGAAGTGGTATACGGCTGGCGCAGAAGAACCCCAATCTCGAACTCAAGAGACTGTCAAAGACGGTTCTCGGTTCGAAGATCTCATCTGCAGACTTACCCCGAGATTTTCAATGAGGGCGTGGGTTTGATGGTGAGAGACATTCTTCAACTCAGTAGGAAGTTAGTCTCGTAAGACATATCTAGAATGGATATTTTGTTTTCAATGAATTTTTGACTGTCTTTTGTACGTGCCAGCGTAGGACAGCAACTCGAGTGTCTACATGGCAGACTTCTTGAGAATCGTAATATGGCACATCAAGCGATTCCCTCAGCCAAAAGGCCTGCTCGAATTCGTCTCTTACCCATTACTCGATAGCGCGGACATGGTCAAACTCCGTCACGTTGAGTGGTCTCTCAACGGCCACTTCTATTACTACAGGATTGTGTCGATAAACTCGACGGTGGACCACCACTTCAGCGCTCGCTCTCCGGGAGACAAGAGCTCTTTCACCGTCAATGCTGTTGAGTGGGTGTCGTGGAGCGGCCGGTTACACCATCCAGTAGAAAAGTAAATAGGTATCGTATAGGTATATGTCTACATTGTGAGAGATAAAGTTTCTATCTCTATATCTAGGTATTTGTGCCAAGTCCAAAGACAGTCACGTAGGAGATACCAGATACTAATTCAAGTAAGGAATTCAGACACACTTTGGTATTTGAAACAGAATACTGGTTTGCTCAATTTAATTCGATGCTAAGGTATACATTGCTCAGTCGCATTAGTCGATCGATACATGGAAGCAAGAAAGACGCCGGGTTTCCCGAAACTATACAATGGTACATGGTTCGCATAGAGACAATATCGTACCGCATGCTAAAGGTCTCGAGAACGTGCATGTCGTGTACAGGAATAAGATAAAACCAGGTAGACTGTGCTCAAGCGCGGGTGAATAGAGAGATGTCAGTCGATGCGGCGGGGGTATATGACCTGGCTACTCCTTAAGGGGTATAAGTGCCAACATGAGCCAGCCTGGCTTCGAGGCGTGTGTTTGGCTTTTCTTTTTTTCAAGATATGCTGAGGAGGATCAAGCTTAATGACCAGTGCATTTGCCCCATGCCGGCAATCCGCATCCCATGCCGACAAAAAGATAGACCAGGAATATCACTACAACGACGAGAAGGACCATCAGTTTCGCATTCTTCCACCACATCCGTCTTCGCAGGCCGCGACTGCGCATGCGGAAGTCGCGCGCACTACCGCCCAATCGATCTGTTTTGTCCACGAGCAGGTCGATTCGCTCGCCACGCTCTAGCACCTGTTCGATGTTTGCGGTCATGATGTCGCGGACATTGTCAATCTCGCGCCGGGCAGAGGCGAGCGAGTCTGATGGTGGAGCGGTGTTGTATGTTTGGAGGAGAGATCGAAGTTCAGCATTGAAAGAGGCACATCCGTACGCTGGGAGGGTGGAAAAGTCGGTGGCAGATGGTGGATACGCGGAGAGGAACTTGCGTTTCAACTCGAGAAGAAAAGCAAACGGAATGCGTCGACCCTGCTCCGCCGTTGCGACAACAAGGTAGCTCAGAGGCGCGTAAGATGAGATCTCCTGCTGCTGCCCTCCATCTTCACTGGTCCCTGAAGGACAGTCGGCGACGTAGTGCACGAAAAGGCGGTCATGAGTATAGGTGAGCTTTTGCGGCTTGTCATGAGAGATCTTGGGTAGGATGATTGATGCGAGGGAGGAAGCCGCGGTGGATGAGCTTCCAGGAGCGGAATGCTCTGCTAAGATAGTTGTCCTATGTGCTACGCAAGAGCTTTTGATAGTTTGTCAGCTTAATGTCGGGTTACGAGACGGGGATATAAGCAGGATGGACATACTACAGCAAGGAATTCGATGGTTTCGACGAGGAGGCCATCTTTGAGTTGTAGTTAATCGGTGTCTAAGCAGGCCAGCTACTTAAAACAAGGAGATCATTCAACTAGAGATATCACCTCAGCGCAGGACGTGGATGGAGAAAAGCAACGCGTTGGTCTCAGGCATCTCACGATGCTTGCTGCGCCGGTGACGTCGCCGCCTAAACCCCGGATCTGCCACGTGCATTTTCTGCCCTAGAAACCTCTCTCACGTGATGCAGTATACCCTAAAAGAGAGAAAGCTGCAGCTTCACAGGTCATCAGCATCCAACCTCAAAGCTCTACGCCTTGTTTATGGGCAATATCTATCCCAGCTACACTAGAGAGTTTCATGGTTCCCGCAGTCTACCGATAATGACTTCTAAGGTATTGACCGGAACAGAGCATAAATTACCGCACGCAATTACAGCAACGAGATAACTATGAGCCCCTCCCAAGGAGATGAGAGAATTTAACAGCATCATATTATCGCCCACAGACATGTCGAGAAACTCAGTTTGTTAATATAAACGCTCACACATTACCCCGTTAACCATCACCGATTTGAAACTCGAACTATATATATGTGCAACCTTGGGTACAAGCATACCTGCCAGCAATTACCATGTGGCATTCTTCCTATAACAACCTTTTAACTCCTTTCCTGTATTGACTTCCTATATTGAACTCGTGTGATCGCCTCAATGGACAGTCCAGGTCTAATTCTGAAAGGAAAGTATCGATAAGGTCCTGTTTCGCGCATTTCACCATCATTATAGGGTCCCATCTGCTCTTGCAAAGTCTCGTTATTGTGGATGTGATTGAGCTTCTGCGGCCTGCTGGTTGGCCTGCGCTGCAGCTTCCAGTGCATGCTTGATGGCGATCTGTTTCTCTTGTTCCTCTGGCGGCAGAGCGTCAAAGGCCGCTGTGTTATCGTCCCATTCCTTCACACAAGCCGGATTCCAGTTGCATCTTTCGACCTCACCGTACATCGGATGGTTATATCGGGGGTGGTTGGAAGGCCATAATGAAGCGTGGTAGTGATGCTTCACAAGAGCGTTGCGGGCATTGTGATTTCCCGAGTCCGAGTGGCCTTGACCGGCCGCAAATGCTTCAACAGTGAGGACTAAGACCCCCCCTACCAGTTTAGATTCATGCATGTTGTGGAAGGTATCCCAGATGATTGCCTGGCCGGTCCGTTCACTCATCTCGGCCAGAACAGCATCGGTGAAAGCAGAAGGCCCTGTACCGCTAATCACCTCATCGAAATCCAATTTGATTTCTGAAATAGGCACTCCCTGACGTCTAGAGACGTCATGGAGCCAGGCCATGATGTTCTCGATCAGTCTCAACATGACCGGCAGCCGGGGCTTGCACATTAGAGTCCACTGACAGAAGCAGCGCGACTTGCTGCCCAGAATTGGGTGATCCTTGAACTCGGGTTCATCAACCTCTACTCCGATGACCATGTCGATATCTGCCTCTTTGTATCGTTCCGGGATGAATCGATCGATGGGACGCAGTGCTTCGACGTCAATGTCGGCATAGACTCCTCCTTCCATGTACATGACTAGATACCGTAAGAAGTCCGCTTTGACGATCTTCGCAGTTAGCGATCGGTATACATATACTATGTCGGGTCGATTCAGACCCTCCGGTCCGAAATGCGTCTCGACATAATAGAGATCGTTCTGGTCCGTCAGGACCTCATATCTATGCTCCGGGTTTTTGGACGTCCAACTCCGGGCAAGCGCTAGGTCGCGATCTTCGAAGTTCAGCGAATCGACCTTCCACGTCTGCCATATCTTCTGAGGGAATCTTCCTGTGGCTGCAACAGACCTAAAGGGTCTTTCGCTGTCGAACTCGCCAAAGGGTCCCACGATAGAGAGGTATAAGACAATGAAGAGGCAGGCCAAGCAGGCGGGGAAGATTCTCCGAATCTGCTTGGGCAGGTAGCCATTGTACCTCGAAGTATTCGCCTGCATCCTTGTATCGGCGGTGAATTTTTCTGTGAACATGCGCCCGGTAGATGCCTTGAGACGAAAATACATCTCGAGGCATTTCTTTGTGAACGAAAGCTTCAACCCGGTCACACCCAGCTGCGGAAATTTGGAATCAATTCACAACGGAATCCATAAAGTAGGGTCTAGGAGTGCTTGGGAAAGTGAACCTCATCTCATAATCTCGAGTGGGCCTGTGACATTAGAGGCGCATCGTGTGGTACGAATTGTGAGCAGCCGGGAGCCCTTCCATACTGAATTGGAAACATGACCGACGCCAACGCAGTCTAGCTGTAGGATGGAAGGCTGTCTAGCATTCTAGAGGAGCGCACTCGTTCCTGGGTGAAGGGAAACAGACGTGGCGTAGGATGCCAGTGCTACCCTCTTCGCTTTTCCTCTGCGCTGACTGGTGATGTTTAGCTACTGCAGCAATTCCGAAGCCGAATGTGACCGTTCTGGCCCCTAGAACTAAAAGACGCAAAGTCAATTGGCGGTTCGATGAAGCTTATTTGAGCCTAATCAGACTAAACCCCGTTTTAAACCTGGGGTATAGACTGGGGGTTGACAGCGGGGTAAACTCAAGCCTCGGCAGCAGTGAAAAAGTTCTTATGGTTTTGGATAGATAACAGGAGAAGATGCACCGCGAACCACATGTGATGAGGGGCTATTTCTGTTCCAGATGTCCCAGAAACTATGTAGCGTGTCGCCTCATCTCTTTTCCGAGGAAAGCCGGTCTTAGATCCTAGAGTGGGATCGTTGGACTCGGTACATGTACAGCAACGACATTTCCGCTGATCAGAGGGGTGCAGACTGGGCTGATCATTGAGATCGGCTCTTGTCAATTCTCGTGGAGCTCCCTGGAGCTGCTTGCGTCGAGACCCATCGGCCTATTCTCACTTCGATTTCTGTCTTAAATGTGATCGTTTCTATAGCAGCGGGACAACTCTGAGAAGGGATAGCCTTAACCGAAGGTATCTTGGAAAAGCCTTATCGGATCGCAGAATAAAGCCATCCGTCAATGACTACTAACGGCTTGTTGGAGAAGGGGAACTGGGAGGAGGCGAAGGCGGATTGGAAGCCCCGTGTTTACGTGCGCGCAACTTCATGGGGTCTTGATCTGATCCGACCAGCCTTCTGGACAAAATCTGCGGGTCGCAGCAGACAGCTGGGACGAACAGGATATCTTGATGGTCTGCGAGGATTTGCAGCCTTCCTGGTCTATTGGCAACATCATGAGCTATGGGCGCATGATGCTGGAGAGAAGATCTTCGAGAACGCGTTCGGCTACGAAAAGCAATATTATTTCGCGACTCTCCCAGGAGTGCGAACTTTCTTCAATGGCGGACACCTTGCTGTCAGCGTCTTTTTCGTACTGTCTGGATACGTGCTCTCGGCGAAGCCGTGGATGCTAATCAACGCGGGGGACTATCGCAAGTTGAGCGATAATCTGGCATCTGCGTTATTTCGTCGTTGGCTTCGCCTTCATATCCCGGTGATCTGTACGACCTTTGTCTACATCAGCATATGGCACGCATTTGGGATCTGGGCGGTGCCAGAGCCTCGAGCAACCTATGGCGAAGAGGTATGGAATTGGTACGTGGAGTTCAAGAACTTCACCTTCGTCTTCCGCACAGGTGGTGAGCCCTGGTTCTCATACAACTTCCATTCATGGTCAATTCCGGTCGAGTTCAGAGGCTCTATCGTTATCTATACCTCACTCCTGGCGTTTTCGAGGTTAAGGAGGAACGCGCGATTGCTATGCCAGGTCGCACTGATAGTCTACTTCCTCTACATTGCCGATGGCTGGTTCTGTGGCATGTTTGTTGCGGGTATGCTTCTCTCTGACCTCGACCTGCTTGCCGCCAATGATGACCTGCCTCGTTTCTTCTTGAGACTGGAGTCTTGCAAAGAACAAATCTTTTACACTCTCTTTGCAATTAGTGTCTACCTTGGAGGAGTTCCGGCGCACTCGTCCGATCTGTCTGCTCTGAGAGCTTCTCCGGGTTGGTACTATCTCTCTTTCCTGAAGCCACAGGCCGTCTTCGACTATAAATGGTTCTATCTGTTCTGGGCGGCTATCTTCCTCGTGGCCTCGATCCGCCATATTCCGTGGCTGAAGAGCTTCTTCGAGCTGCGATTCAACCAGTATCTGGGGCGCATCTCATTCTCTCTCTACTTAGTTCATGGTCCTGTTCTCTGGATTCTCGGTGACAGACTCTATGCTGCTACCGGGTGGACCAGGGAGTCTCATGCGATCAGCCTTCCAAAGGGATGGGTGAATCGGTTCGAGCTCCCAAAGACCGGTCCCCTCGGTCTGGAGTTGAGTTTCCTCTTACCGCATCTGATTCTTCTGCCGCTCACTCTATGGCTTGCGGAGATAGCGACGAAACTGTTCGATGAGCCTAGCGTCCGATTCTCGCAGTGGCTGTATCGGGCAATGCTGCCGCAGGAATCTGCTAAATCATAGAGTAGTCTGAGAATCCATTATAGTATGATATACATGGTCTTCGGTTGCATTCTGTTGGCCCTTATGGGCTGGGTGAATGACACTTTTGGACCCTTTTTGACGCAAAGAGCACGACGAAGGAGGTAAAAAGGCGTTTTAGAAGGGCTTATCAATATTTATTACTGCATTTATAATCTGTCCTTTAGTGGGTAGAGTAGAGTATCCACAGAAACGTTGCGTAGATTGCTACGCGGCACGTACCCAGCTTCAAGTGTATGTAACAGACCTGATTAAAATAGGTCCACACGAGAGAACATCCAAAAATCCGCATTTCAGCCCTGACGAATCGTCTATAAAGGAGCAAAAGATGTGGAAGGCCGTTTCCCCGCACTGACATCCCCTCGGCAATTGCAGGTCTCTTTAGTACAGTCAGAAGAAGATCGAATTCCGAGCCAAGTAATACTTAATCTAAGCCAGAAAATACCGTAAAATGCTACCCTGATTCCATCACATGACAGTAATTGTAGTCTCTTTGTTCCATGTAGTATTGCACTGTTCACTTTATTTTCTATCAACGCCACCGATCCGTCCACGTTCCTGATGACCACGACTTGACTTTCTGGCTCTGCAGACCACTCCTCTCCTAGACAGACCATGTTGGTCCGCGAAAGACGTCTTGTGGTCTTGATCGGAGCATTTCTTTTTCTCATTATCTTAACTCTCGGGTTTTATGATAGATGGTTTTTGGCGCGAACCCGGAGTAACGTTAGGAGCGGTGATGATGGATATGAGAAAAATGGAGGGAGAGTATGGCTAGGACAGACGTTCGATGGTCCTCCATCCAGCAAACAGAATTCTGAATATCAATCACAACATGGCCCTATTTCTACACCTCCATCCACCCATAACGAAGTCTTCTCCATCTCAACCCGGACGGGAAAATACTTCACCATCGACTTCGGCCCGCACTTCAAGGCGATCAACCCAAGTATCATCCCGCATCCATCACTGAACGATACATGGATCGTGGTCGCGCAACGCGTGCCATCTCGTCCGAACTCTGTTTTTAATGTCGAGTTAGTCTGTGATGCTATATTTGTACAGGAGGAAGAAGACGGCATCCTCCGCTGCATTAACCCACCACTCATCCTCCCCATCGCAGCGACAAACAGCCCAGGCGAGACAGAGCGTTGTCTCGGACAACTAGCAGCCCTCACGCTGAGTATCGGTCCGCATGATGCGCGCGTCTTCTTCGGCCCCAATGCCCCCTATACGATCTATGGGTCCAATTCGAAATATACCTGTTTTGGACAGTGGATTCAGGATCTGCGAATTCTGGTAGATTGGGGATTCGACTTCATCCCAAATAACGAATTCCGCATTGGAACAGAACTCCAACGTCCTAGAGATGGAGACGGTGGTGGCGCGTACGGACCCGTCGAGAAGAACTGGTTCGTTTTCTGGGACGAGCAGAATCAGATATATGTTCACTACGACATCGCACCTCGACGGGCATTCGCGAAATTAGAATTCGATGGATCTGCTGGACCTGATCTCGCGACACTAACGGCATCGAATGATGAAGCCTGTATGGCGAAGCACATGCCTCTCGTCGCGACGGATGGACAGCAGAGTATCCATCAAGCGACGAATTCGCTAGCTATCACGCTGTGTAAGCGTTATGATCAGTCGTGTGTACCGGATGATTCGAATACGTTTATCTTGACGATCTTTCAGCATAAGAGTTTTTATTCTTTCCATTCGGTGTATGAGCCGTATGTGATGCTGTTTAGGCGCACAGCGCCGTTTGATATCTATGGCATATCGACGAGGCCGATTTGGATTCGTGGACGAGGGGGTCCGGGACAGGGGAGAAGACCGCAGACTATGGAGGGCGAGGAGGTACAGGGATTGCAGGAGTGGGATCAAACGGAGATGTTTTATGTTACTTCTCTTAGTTGGAAGAGTCGCGAGTTGAGGTATCATGGGTATAGTGATGATGTGCTCTTTCTGGCGTTTGGTATCGAGGACGAGGGGACGGGAGGGGTTGATATCTTGGCGGAGGATCTGTTGAAGGATTTGGGCCTGTGTTCGATGGGTTGATGGGATTGAGGATTCATATATAATTTTCTGTTAGGTACATATATTTATTAGTATTTGGAGCGTAGGGTTTAAGCGTGGGATGCTTATGGAGTTAGGATCGTGCTAGATACCAATGGATTCGAGCGCCTTGTTAGGTCAATGGAAAGAGAATCTAATGAACCACCCCATATATTATTATGGCAGTCCCTCACTCTCTGAGCTTGCTAGAAACTGAGTGACCTGGTCTAGAAAATCTACCAGGGTATTAAATGCTCATTTAGTGTATGCCCAGTGATTATCGTCAATCATAAAATTCAGTCTTTCCCAGATACGGGTTAGATACGCTAAATCGCTGGCACATGAGTTTCATTGCTCCCAGATAAGGACCAACTAATCAACAGCCTCCAAGTAAAAAGAGGATTCTCTGCCTGTGGTCGCCTTGGGACCTCAGGCCAAAGGAGCCAACTTATCCAAATCTGGACATTTTCATCATCCGCAGTTCTCCCCCGCAGGGTGAGTGATTGTGCCATCTATGAATCCTACGGCCGGTGAATACGTTGTATGCATGTTGACCAGGAGTGTGATCATCGGTGGGCTATCTCCCGGCTCTCCCAGCTATGGGAATCCGGGGTAGACTATGCTCTGCTGTTCGTGCGACGAGGAAAAGAAAGGAAGCTAGAGAGAAGAATTCAGCCTAACCGCAGATGACTTCTTTCAATAAATACTCGTACGTACAACCTAATATCCGTGACTAGCTCACCCATACTGTTCTGTTGTGGGTGAGCCCTCCCGCATTTGCACTTCCTACTATATTTATACTTTTCTTCTAATTATTCAATACTGAGGCTTTTCAACCCCTCTAATATAGCTAAATATACTCCTATTAATAATGCTTGTATGTTAGAAGTATATTAGGCTGCTTAATACTAAAAAAAACTAAATATTAAGCAGATTATATATAACTTTAAAATCTTATATTATATCTTACTTAACTATATTAAAAACCTTTACTAATCTTATATAGCTAAAATACTAATTAATAAGATCTTTAAAAATTATTAGGAGAAAGCTTTAATCTACTAGATTATTTTTATGCATAATATTAATATGCTAATAATTCTTAAACTAGTAGAAGTATAAGTAAATTAAGCATTTATTTATACAAGTAGACTTAACTAATATATTAATAAGAATTAAGTATATTGCTTTAAAAAATAACTACTAAAATATTTAAAGCTAAGTCTAGTTAAGTAAAAGACTAAAGAATTAAAATATATCTAAGCTAAAGATATAGAATATTTAGCTTATTAGTATAATAAGCTTATTAATATTATTAAGGATATCTCTTTATAATTAATCTATAATTTTAATAAATATAGATTTTAGCCTAATAAAGGTTAGGCATAGAATATTATTAGGTCTAATAACTATCTTAATCTTACTAAGATTAAAAAAAGTAAAATTATAATTATAATTAAATATATTACTATAAATAGCTAGTAAATAAATCTTTTTTTTATATTTAAAAGTAATAGAGTTATTAAGGTATAGGCTTAAGAAGCAGGTTAGAATAAATAGAATAAGGTAATTAATACTAGAACTAGCTATAGAATCTCTATTTAGCTAATTTAAACTAAAATAGGCTATTATAAGTAAGCTTAATAAATAAAATATAGCTTAAAGAGCTTAAATTTAGATTAAGCTATATATTGAAAATATCTTTATAAGGTTATATAATATCTTATATAAGTATTAGCTAGTAAATCTTTATCTCTTATACTAATACTATAATAATATTCTCCTTCTTAAGGTTAAGCTTTATTAAGATTATCCTTAGGCTTTAGCTTATTTAAATAGCAGCAATAAAAATTTATAATAATTTCTTAAATATATTATAAATAGTATATAGGCTCTTTAATTAAGTTATTATAACCTAATTACTTAATAATATATTATAATTAAAGGCCTTTATATCTATAATATTCCTATTAGGAGTCTAAGATATCTTTAATAATTTATTCTTTAAAGCTATTAACTTTAATAGGTAATAATAAAGATTATCTCTATTTAAGTATAAGGTCTTTTATAATAAGATAAAGTAGGCTAATATTAAATATAAGATAGATATATATTAAAGCAGATAAATTAAGCTAATAGATATATAAATTAATAACCTTAATAATATAAAATAGGCTAAGATTCTTCTAATTAAATTTCTTCTAGAGATATTAAATATAAATATTCTAGGCATTTAATTAAACAGACTATTTTATATAATAATAGCAGGCTAAAGTTTAATAATAATTAGTCTATTCTTTATAATAGGCTTAGATAATATAAATTTAAGTATAGATATAATCTATAATATCTTATATCTTTTTAATAAAAGCTTTAATATCTCTAATAGTAAGTTAGTTTATAGGCTAAATAAATTTAAATCTTATATATAGATAGAATCTATAATTAGTAAAAAAAGGCAATATTTTAATAATCTTAAAATAATAAGAGTTTAATATAAACTTAGCTAAAGATAGCTAGTTAATCTAATTATTTTATAAATAGCTAATATAAGCATATAAATATTATTTTAAAATAGTATTTATCTTTTTAATCTAATTATTAATCTTAGAATAATAGATAATAAATAATAGATTTATAATATTTAAATATTAGGTTAAGTATTTTTAGAAAGTAATAATAAACTAAAGGCCTTAATTAAATATTATAGTCTTTAATAGCCTATAAAGCTTCTATATATAATAAATATATAATTGCGCTACTTTTTTAATATTATAAATAACCTAATAAAGAATAAAATACCTTATCTTTATAAGTTAGTCTATAATAACTAATATAATATTATAATCTTAGTAAGATATAAGTCTAATAATAAAATCTATTAAAATATCTTATTAAGAGTATTTAGAGATAAAGAGCTAATATAAGACTTTTAATAACCTTTATTTAAGAGTATAATATAATAATAGATATAGTAATTCTAGGTCTAATAATCTATATATTAATATATATTTAGCTAATAATATTCTTATAAGATTAAATTATAAAGCTTATATTTTTTAAAGTATTTAAATATATACTTATTATAGTATTCTTATAATAAATAGGCTTTTAGCTTATTATAATTAGGAATATATAAATAGTCTTTATAATATAAATATCTTTCTCTTTATTAATAGTTAGCTAATATAATCTTAAGATAATAATTAGCTTTATAATCTAAGGCTTATAAAATAGACTATATTAAATTATTAAATAGATAAGCTATATTTAATAAGTCTTTAATATTAAATAAATACTTTAATTTATTAAATATAATAAAGGAACTTAATTAGTCTTATTTAATAAGCTAGGCTATTTTTTTAATAGGCTAAATAATCTCTTTAATAGATTAAATTATCTCCTTAATAGATTAAATAATCTTAATAAACTAATTAGGCAATAGAATAAACTAGATAGATTCTCTAGGCTAAATAGATTAATATTTTAAAATAGGTTAAGTAGGTATTTCTATAGGTTTAGCAAAATTTCTAATCTCTTAAGCTATTAAATTAGTAAAGTAAATATATCTTACTATTTAACTCCTAATAATAGCTTCTAATTTTAGAGATCTCTAAATCTATAGGTTAAAGTTCTTCTTCTTTAGGACTGTTTAGCTCTAATACTATAGCTATTTATCCTCTTCCTTAAAAAAATCTTCTAACCTCCTAGTTAGAGTATTAAGCTTTACTTCTTATTTTCTAGGTTAATATATAATTCAGAAGTTAAACTAAGATAAAAACTTAAATTAATAGGCCTATTACTAGTTTAATAGCTTAATTAATATAAAGTATTCTAGATTATAATAGTTTATAATAACTTTAATTAGTAATAGTATATCTTTAAGCTTAAGATACTACTTCTTAAAATAGCAGATAATTATTAATAGTTCTTTATTATAAATCTTATAATTATACTTTATAATAGAAAGCTTCTTTAAGAAAAATATAATAAAATATAAGATTCCTTTATTATTATACTAAGATATAACTTTAGTTAATATATAGTTAGATAAGTTAGTTTTAACTATAATCTTACAGGTCTAATTAAATAGCTTCAGAATTAAGGCTTAAATAAATACTTCTTTTAGAGCTTTAAAATTAGACTAATAGGTAGATATTTAATTAAAGAAAACTCCTTTTTAGATTAAGCTTATAAGTAATATAATTATCTTAGAAAAATTATAAATAAACTAATAATAAAAGTTATTAAACCTAATAAAGGCTTATATATTAATTATATAGATTAGGGTCTTCTATTTAGTAATTATTTTTACCTTATCTAGGTTTATTTTAATATAGTCTTAGTTAATAATAATATTTAAAAATTTAGTCTTAGAGATAATAAACTTATACTTCTAGATTTTTATATATAAGCCTATTTTATATAGCTTCTATAAAATAATGCAAATATATTAAATATATTTAGAATAAGTTATATTATATATTAAGATATTATTAAGATATATAGTATAAAAGATATTAAAGTAATCTTATAGAATATTATTAATAAATCTTTAAAATATTACTAATATTTTTATTAAGCTAAATAATATTACTAATAATTTAAATAGGCTAAGTTAAATATAAAAGACAGTTAGATATTCTTATCTTTTCTTAATATAAAGGTTATTAAATATAGAAATAATATTAATCTTTATAAAATATTTTATTCTCTTTAAATTATTTAGAGTTTTCTTAATTAAAGGTAGAGAATATTAGTCTTTAATAATTATTATATTTAAGGCTTAGTAATTTATATAGATCTATATTCCTCTATTAAGCTTCTTAATAAATAGAATTAAGAATATAGCAGGCAATAAGCTTAAGTAAATAAATCTCTTTTTTAAGTTTTCTTTAATTTATTCCTTTAAAACCTTTAATTTATTTTAAGATATAATATATAAAGATTTAAAAAGGAGTAACTTCTTCTCTAATAGCTTAATATTATAATTATAAGAATAATATAATAGCAGGCGCTTAGCCTCCTTAGAAGAAAAGATATT